TGGTAGCTCTTTTTTTGTGTGTGAAATTATTTTTTTAACCATTTGACTTGAAGTTGATTTAAGCAGATGCATATTCTTTGTGATATGAACACATGGGAAACAAATGATCATTTAGCCATTTATTTTTAGCTCAAAATGACAACATTAACACAGTAAAACAGGTCTCCTTCTTAAACAGAAGCCTGTCATGCTTAACTTTTGAGAATATAAGTAAATCTTTCTTTAAAAGAATTCTGTCCTGCTTAACTTAAAATTATATAAATTAATAGAAAACAATAGAAAGAAAAATATTCTTGTAACTGTGCACATATAGTGCATTTAGTACAATTGGCTTCAGTTGAGGTATTATTTCAGCTTTTCTAATGCTAATCAGCTGCTCCTGTTTGTAAACCCGCTTGTTCCCATGATTACGCATCATAACTCATCATCATTATTCATCTATGTATTACTTTTATGTATTAGTCATCTATTTGTTGTAATCATCTATCCTTACAGATGTTTATTACACAAAATAAGTTATATTATCACACTTCTGGCCACATAGCGCTGATATTCACTGCACATGCCCATATTAACTTTTTCCAGCCAGGTGTTTTCCTTTTCCCATTCCTCCCTGTGCTTTTGCAGCCTATTTTTCTTTCTCTGAGCGAACAAACATTGCTGCTCTAATGCTGGGCTCACACTGTGCGATTTTTGGCCCATTTTGAGACGATTTTTGAGTCGTGCGACGGATTTGGTGATCAGACAGATTTTGGCCTTCATCGTGCGTCGTGTAGTATACGTGGGGTAACGAGAAGCGATTAACACCTCACGACCAGCTCCCGATCATCAATCGCTCGTGAGGGTGTCACCGCAGCCGCTCACACTGCGCACGCGCAAACACGTAAACGTCGGTGAAAAAGACGGAGCAGCACAGCTGTGCAGCCTGTGATCTGGACACAAGCCATGGAGGCACAACTTGTAGAACTTTAGAAAGCTCATCCGAGCCTTTTCGATGTGGCATCACAAAATTATCACGACCACAACAACCGTGAAAATAGTTGGATTTACACTGCTGCTCAATCACAGCTGCCTGATCAGTGTTTTTCATTAGCAATTTAGCAAAGTTGATGGTGGCGGTGTGTCTGTGTGAGTGAAAGACAGAGAGAGCGAGAGATTGTCTGTTATAACCTTCATTTTATGGAGGCACAGTGTGAGCTCTCAGGTCGCATCAGAGCATCGGGCGGTATAGTGTGAGACCTGCATCGTGACCTACCAACTTCTAACCCCTGCGAGTCAATCGTGCAGTTTGAAAATCGCACAGTGTTTGCCCAGCTTTAGGTGTACTGTCATCCGAGACTTGCACCGCCGTGTCGGCGTTTGTTTCCCTGTTGGCCATGCTTGTTGTTGTGGTCATCTGTTGTCTTCCGGTATTTTCTCTGTAAGCGACCTTTCCTCGACCAATGAGATAATCTGAATTGTCATACTCGAATTGTCATAAGTGTGCTGTCAGCTCATTGGTCACAAAGCAGGAGAGGGGCTGGGAATTATGTTTTCAAACAAAGCGTTAATTCCATTAACATTTATAGACTACTTTTGATTCTCACTATATTACGGGACAAAGTGCGTCCCTTATTAGCTCAATACGGGACGTGTACTTTTGTTTCGAAATACGGGACGATTCCGTATTTTAAGGGACGGTTGGCAACCCTACCGTGAATGTTACACTCACACAGGGGTGCTAAATAGTGTATGTAGGCAACGGCACAACCACAGTTACTGCAACCACGTGTGGTGAACTTGTGATCTTGTTGCCTTTCAAATTGGTGCTTTGACTAGGTCTGCATCAGCGTTGCTGCTTTACCAGGTGTAACAATAAAGTTTAACATCCAGGCATCCATGAAAACAGAATTCATGAAGTTTAACAGAGTTAGAAGTTAGCAGGAAGTTAGCTCGCTAGCTTCCACCTAAACATGATATAGCATGTTCTGACTGAGAGATTTCTGAAAGAATTCAAACGTACAGCTCTGCTATCACTTCCAACATAAAGAAGAGAGAAAACTAAACAGCAGTGACGTTTGTAGGGTTACTGAAGTTGGGCTAGCTGCTATATAATGATGTGCTATGTGATCGCTAGCTACACAGCTATGTTAGCATAGCATAAACTCACTGAAGCTGGAGGATGAACGCTAACTTTTTTCCACTCGATAAAAGTTAACGTGAGGGTTCCCGATGGTCAGGAACAAATGTAATCGCATGGCAGGATGCTGTAAACGGACCAAACTTCAGTCAGGAGAACAACTGAGATAATTCATCCACAATACGAGGTTAGTCATTCATATACTGCTGCATGGGCTGGGCTGTAGCTACATCGTAAGGTTTAAAAACTAAGCTTTAAAATGAACAGAGAGGCCGACAGTGATCACTGACTGTTTTTAGGGGCTTGTTCAGATTCAATAGAACAAGATACAAAGCATTAAAACATGTGAAAAACACAACAGCCATAATAAACGCAGAGTAGTTTGGACCCGGAAGCAGGATTCATACATCATCACTGAAAGACCGGATAATGACACGCTGATCGACACGCTGATAAAAAGGGACTAAGATGGAGTCAGTCTGTCTGTCTCAGTCAGTCCAGGTTGGTCAATTCAACTACTTCCAAATGGTTGCTGAGTGAATTCTTATATTTGTACATATATTTATCCTTAAAATTCCCACATTCCTGCTCTTATATTTTTTTGTTTCTTATGTTTCTTGTGTTTTGCACACCTCTGTTGTTTGTAAAGCTTGCACTGTGATGTGACAGTAAAAGTGATTTGATTTGAAAATATTCCATGCAATGACTGAGCACACACCAACTTTCACTAGTCTTCAGGAGGTGACTGTCTCATGTTTATCTTAGTGTGACTGAGTCATTAGTGAGCTGCAGTGCTGTGTGTGAGCTAAACTAAATCAGTGTTAGTCTTTGCTCTTTTGTGGCTTTGGGTTGGAGTGTGTTTGATGATGTTTTGTGACGTTCAGATTTTCAGATTAAACCTGACCAGACTTTCAGATCATTCGTTAAAGATATAAAATGTGAGCCCGAAGCTGTGAATACTTGGCACCCTACATTTTTTAAACTTCCTCACAGACACAGGATAAAGTACAGCTACAGCTCAAAGCCTCCAGGTGCTGCCTCTCGGCAGGCTTCCAGACATTGGCCAATGGGGACGGGCAAAATCAAAGTTCATCTCATAGATTTTTCATGTTTGTCTCTGTTTATTCTCTCCATCAGTTTTTCAGTGTTTACAGTATTTCATCAGTGTAATCCCCCACACTCGCTCTGTCTTTTCTCAGCTTTGCCCCAGGAACGTCGTCCAAACTCTCCAAGTGTGTTTGTGTTGATGTGGTCCATCTGTGGTTTGATGTCCAGCATGATAACTGTGTTTACAGCAACACACGCAGCAGTGCTGTGTGCGTGCGTGTGTGTGTGCGTGATAGAGTAACATCAACAAACAGGACTACACGCACACTGTGAGGGCGTGGACACGGGCGCACACGGAGCGTCAGCAGTGGAAGTCGTTCATCTTTTTACTGAAGTTCAAACACGAGTTTGATCCGATTCAAGAGTTCCTCTGCAAGCCTATGGAAAAACAGCCCCAGCCCCGAGCTCTGTAAACATTTTCCTGATGGGTTTATGAGCTCAGTCATCGCAGGTTATATGCAATAAAACAGAAAGTCCATTTTTTTAATTTTGCTCATTTCAAGTGCCAGAAAAGAGGTCAGAGCTTCCCCTCACTCGTCAAAACACTGTAAATGGTGAAAACGCTTAACTTCAGAACAGGACGTCACAGTAACAACATTCATCTTTTATATCGTCTATGTTTTAGCGCTAGACTCCCCCGGGGGCTGAAAAGGTACTGCCTGTGGATTATAAAAGGTTATGTTGAAGAAGTCTTAATTTCCAATACTGCAAATGAGTTGAAAATAACCATTCAGTGGTTACAGTTAAAAAGAAAGAAACTGAACATATGAAACATCTACCGATGTCTGTTTTTAAACCTGAACTCATCAAACAGAGATGACAGTGTCGGGTGCCTGAATTACAGCTGTAAGTGCAGAATCACCCTCAGCAATCACTTTGTCAGATCACAGGGCGATGGCATTTGTGTTTTTGTGGGGAGGGAATAGGACTAGCTTTGGTGTTTAGACTCAAACTGGCAGGTTGAAGACCAGAAAGGTCATGGCTGCAGTGCTAAGGCCTTTGTGTATCAGTTAATTAGCAGCAGCTGAACTCTGGGTAACTGTACACCAGCGTCCTGAGGCTGAGCTCATACAGCATGCAGGAAGTGGGTGGAGCCTGCTATCCCATTGTAGCAGTTAGCTTTGTTCAGACCCACATATCACCAATCATTTCTTAAAATGCTTCTTCTGTTGTTCCCAGATTGGTCCAGATGGTACCCCCAGGAGACAGAGCAGCAGGCTCATTAAACTCACACGATCAGATTTCTTCTGGAAACTTCTTCTGTCTCCTGGTTACTTCAGTAATCAAAGACTGATGTAGAAAATGACGAATTATTTCATATTATTGGTCAGATGATGTCATTAAAGATGCTCCAAAAAGCTCCAACAGCACAAACATAGTCCAGAGGTCCAGCTCAGGTGAAGCCAGAAGGAAGAAAAAGCTAGCAGCTACAGCCACCTGTGTCACCATCCACCTGTTGGGCAAAGAGGCCACGCCCTCAATTATTCAACTTTAAGCTTTAATACAATTAATACGAGCATCTTCCCAGCGTAGAGGTGTTATTTTAACATGGCAGTCTATGGGGACTGACTCACTGCTGCCTCTGCTGTTCATTAAAGGAACTGAAGCTTTTGGTACTTTATTTTTTATTTCAATCCTTAGCCTGTGTGTGAGCTCTTCCTAATTTGACAGATTTTACTGCTGTTGTTCTGTAAACAGCTTACAGGAATCATGAACCTGTGATGGTATTTATTTACTGAATAGATAAGTAAGCAGGTTTGTTTGCCTCCCGCAGTCCTCTGTCCTCTGCTCTGTAAGAACGGCGGAGTCTGTCTGCAGAAGGACCGTTGCCTGTGTTCGCCAAACTTCACCGGGAAGTTCTGCCAGATCCCCATCACACCCACAGACTCCTCTGCAGCCTTCTCCACCAATGAGATCGTCAAGCCGGTTCTCCTCTCTGCCATGGCATCCAATCAGGAGCTGGTTCGGTCTGAGTTCCTGCTACCGCTAGGACGGGACGCAGAGGCGATGACTGCTGGAGGTAAGCGACCTGTGACCTTTAACCCCAACTGTGTCGATGGGTGGCTATGACGTTTTTGTGTAACTCTTTGGAGTTTAGAAATATAGAATTTTTTAAAATATTTCTTGATATCTCAATATTTTACAGATTTTTATTTATTTCGGTTGTAGTTTGCTCAGTTTTGTTCTGACATTATTATGTTTATATGTAATAATATCTTTATTTGTTTGTCATTGGTCATTTAGTTGATACATTTTTGGCAGCTTCGGGCTTCCATTGGTAATTTGTTGCTATTGTGAATGGTGCCTCACTGCAGTTATCCTTTAATGTTCACACTCACGTGCAGCCCCCAGCGGGCCCATGGTGAAGGTCAGAGTTCAGCACCCCCCTGAGGCCAACGTGAAGGTCCACCAGGTGAAGGTAAGAACATTAACAGCTCCTCTGATTGGACGATTAAACTGTCAGTCATCATGTGATGATAAACGTTTTGTTCAAGCTGTTGATAAAACAAAGAACAGCTGTTTCGTTTTTTGTATTTTTACATTCTTATAGTTTTGTAAATATCTTTGTTTATTACTGGCCACAGGCATTTAAATAATATTCTCTCACAGTCATCGAGGTTTTACAAGCTTTTTATTTTGTAGATATTTCATAAACATTAATATTCAGTTTTGGCATTTATGTCATCTGTTTTTACATATTTTTATATTTCCACATATTCTTTTGTTTTGTTCTTAGATTTATTATTTTACATGTTATTAATAATCAATAAATTTTACAATTGGAATTTTTAAATCTTTTAATGATCTTTTATTACATTTTTAATAATTAATAAGAATTATATTACATCTATATATAATTTATTTTTTTATCATTTAAATCTTTGATTTTATTTGAAACAATTGTTTTCTTAAATATAGAATTCTTTAGTTATTTAAAAAAAAATTCTTGGAAGTTCTTTAAAAACATCTAAATCCATCAACCTTCTTCCGTTTATCCGGGGCCATGTTGTTTGGCAAGCAGCCTAAGTACCTCCTCCAGCTACTCCGGGGGAACACCGAAGCCTTCTCAGGCCAGCCAAGAGATATAATCTCTCCGTGTCCTGGGTCTGCCCTGGAGGGGTGGGACATGCCTGGACACCTCGCCCAGGAGGCGCCCAGGAGGCATTCTTGTCAGATGCCTGAACCACCTCAACTGGCTCCTTTCGATGTGGAGCAGCAGCAGCTCTACTCTGAGCCCCTCCGGGATGGCAGAACCTCTCACCCTATCTCTAAGGGAGAGGCCAGCCATTTCCGCCGCTTGTATCTGTGATCCCGTTCTTTCGGTCACTACCCACAGCTTGTGACCAGCCAGAGCACCAATCCGTCTGTTGATCTCCCGCTCACTTCTCGCATCATTCGAACAAGACATCGAGATACTTAAACAGGGCGATTGTGGCTCAAGAGTTGGCAGTTCATCTTGTAATCGGAAGGTTGCCGGTTCGAGCCCAAGCTCGGACAGTTTCCGTCGTTGTGTCCTTGGGCAAGACACTTCACCTGCCGCCTAGTGGTGTTGGCCAGAGGGGCCGATGGTGCGATATGGCAGCCTCGCCTCTGTCAGTCTGCCCCAGGGCAGCTGTGGCTACAACTGTAGCTGCCTCCACCAGTGTGTGAATGTGAGAGTGAATGAATAGTGGCATTGTAAAGCGCTTTGAGGGTTTCGAAAAGCGCTAAATGCAATTCACTATTATTATTATTAAACTGCTTCACTTGGGGCAGGAACTCGTCCCTGACCCGGAGTGGGCACTCCACCCTTTTGAGGACCATGGCCTCAGATTTGGAGGTGCTGATTTTCATTCCCGCTGCTTAACACTCTGTTGGGAACTGCTCCAGTGCGAGCTGGAGGCCATCAGCTGTGACAAAGGGCAGCCCTGGCGGAGTCCATCACCCACCAGGAATAAGTCAGACTTATTGCCGGCTATGCAGACCAAGCTTTTGCAAAGGTTGTATAACGATCAAATGGCCCATAGCAATGGGCTAGACACCCCATACTCCCGAAGCAACTCCCACAGGAATCCCACACAGTCGAACGCCTTCTTCAAATCCACAAAGAACATATAGACTGGTGGGCAAATTCCTGTGCAGTATCCTTGGGAGCTCCACGACCAGGACGAAACCACATTGTTCCTCCTGTATCCAAGGTTCGACTGACAGACGCACATCTAAACAGTCGTCTTAATTTCTTGCAGGAGTTTTAAAATTTAACCACAGATCAAGTTTAATGTAATTTATTCATTTATTTTTAACCCTTTCATTGAATGTGCCTGTAGTCTTTTGCATTCACTTGCTCGTAGGTAAGTTGAATCTTCTTGTTCCAGGTGTCTGGATTCACTCCCACCCTGCGGACGCTCTCTTCCTCCTCCTCCTCCTCAGGGTCAGCAGGTGCTCCGGCTCCTGCTGGCAGCAGAGTCCTGGCCCAGACTGTGAGAGGGGACAGCGTCTACACCCAGCAGTCCGGCTTTAAGTACTGCTTCAGAGAGGTTCAAGACGGACAGGTGAGTGGCAAAATATGAACACAAAATACCACCTGACATTTACCAGCAGGTTTTCAAAGGAGAACTTAGTTTTTACCCATTAACATGGATTTTGTTCAATGTTCCATGTTTGGAGATTTCTACGACTGTCAGGTGGATAATTACTGTGTTCTGTCACATCAAACAAAAAAAACAACCTTTTCGGCACTTTTTACCCCACATAGGCTGTTTTTTTTCTGTCACTGCTGGATTGCAAAGTCAGCATGACCTTGAACCCATGTTAGGGATAAGTGCTGTCTATGACATCATAGGGATCCAAGAGTAGAACAAACAGTCTGAAACTGAGTGTTTAAAGCAATCTGAAAGCTGAGCTTTTGGCACACAGGGACTACTTGTACATATACACCTCATCATTTGGCGAGTTATCACTGTGTTAGGAGACATATGACAGGAAGTAAGGAAATACTGAATAGATCAACTTTAATGTGATTACAAAAAGCAGAAAATGCGAACACATGGTCCTACATCCTTTAAAATGACAAAGAAGTCCTTAAATTATCCCATTGCTACACGATGCATATTGTTGTGTCTTGTTTTGATGAAAGTCCAGCCTGATAGATGTTAGCATGGCTGCGGTCCATCAGATTTATCCTGGACTGTGTTTGTTTTTAGTGCAGCTCTCCTCTTCCTGGCCTTCGGAGCAAGGAAATGTGCTGCAGAGGGATCGGAAAGGCCTGGGGCATCGATGACTGTGTCATCTGTCCTGAGATCACAGGTATACAAAAGTACACACAATACTCGTATAACACAACATAACACACTGTGTGGTCCACTCAGGCTTCCATAACCTACCTTGAGTGACCTCACTGTGGTCAGTCAGAAAACTTTGAAGACTTTTATATGTCTGACATTTTATTATTGCTTTAGACATTAAATTAGGCCCCAAAACCTTCTGGTAATTAAACTGAGACACACGGGAAAAGTTCCCATAGCTAACTTTATCCCTGTACAGTAAACCCAGACGTGCACTGTTGAAGGTTTGACTAACTCTTCCTTTACACTCCCTGGTCCAAGCAAGAATATTATAGTATGACATCTGTTTCATGCTGGTGGTCATTGCAGTGTTTTATATCAAAAGAAAATGACCCATCAATATTAAAACAATGCACTGTTATTCCTCCTCGCCTTTTTCTGTAAAAGGTAGAAAGGTGGCAGAGTGAGGGGCCAGCAGTGGAGTTTGAAACCAACATTCATGTGAAAAGCTGATGGCCACATGCTATGTAAAGTCACGTGTTGCTGCAGCATTACACCGGTTTGATTTAGCGGTTTAGGGTCAGCAAGCAAAGGTGTCATAAAAGAGGTCTTTCGAAAGCTCTCCTTTTTTCTGCAAGAGAAGAAGTCCTCACTATTCACTAATGTCCTCACTTAGGCTTGAATTTATAGAGGTCCTCACAAAGATACCTAGACTAGCACAGTTATACTAACACTTTTTCTGTGAGTGAGGGTCTGCTACTTCATGACTTTAATATTTGGGAAATATTTCACCAGTAGCTGCTTATGTAACTATTGGACTTCATCACACACACACACTCACATTTGTTCATCTGTCTTTGTGGGGACCGTAGTTAATACATGCCTTCTGAGGTTCCGTAACTCAAACATCATGATTTCAACACTGAACTCGAATCAGGTCCAAACCATTTAACAGGCCTCCCAAGGTCTGCCTCAAAGTGAGAACCCAGCAGTGTGTCCTCACAAGCATAGATGCATACACACACACACAGTAAGTAATCGGGCTTCCTTGTTCTTTTAGAGCTGACTAACAGTAAAGGAATGCAACTGTGGGACTGTAGGCTTTACAAACACACACACACACACTCAGGAAATCATGTTAGCTCAACTGCTGGCATCCAGCTTCACACCAGCCTGTAAAGAATGACGACATACACCTTTAAAGAACAGAAAAGAGGGCCTGGATGCGCGCGCACACACACACAACTGGTACGATTTTTGATGTTTGTCATGGTTCATTAAAAGTGACCAGAAGATCTTTAAAAAGCTGTTTATAGCACAGGTGTCGAATTCCAGGCCTCGAGGGCCGGTGTCCTGCAGGTTTTAGATGTGTCCTTGATCCAACACGGTTTATTTAAATGGCCTCCTCAACAAGTCTTGAAGTTCTCCAGATTCCTGGTAATGAACTGACCCAGGGTGAGATCTAAAACCTGCAGGACATCGGCCCTCGAGTTCGGCACCCCTGGTTTATAGCTTTGGCTTTGTGATGGCGCCCCCTGGTGTTTCTGTTTGACCTAATTTGACTTTAATGTAACAAACTCTGGGGAGTTCATCTTACAACCTCCATCCATCCATTTGCTTCCGCTTATCCTTTTCAGGGTCGCAGGGGGCGCTGGAGCCTATCCCAGCTGTCATAGGGCGAGAGGCGGGGTACACCTTGGACAGGTCGCCAGTCTGTCGCAGGGCCAACACACAGAGACAAACAACCATTCGTGCTCACATTCACTCGCACATTCACACCTAGTAGCAATTTGGATTATCCAATTAACCTATCCCCACAAGCTGCATGTCTTTGGACGGTGGGAGGAAGCCAGAGTACCCGGAGGGAACCCACGCAAACACGGGGAGAACATGCAAACTCCACACAGAAAGACCCCGGCCTGATGGTGGAATTGAACTCAGGACCTTCTTGCTGTGCAGCAACAGTGCTAACCACCGTACCACCGTGCTGCCTAATCTTACATTAGGCAGCACGGTGGTACATCTTACAACCTTTTTCTTATAAATAATTTAATTTGTAATATATTTCTTAGAAACAGTGCAGAACTGTGTTTTGTGTTCTCTCCTAGCAAACATTAAATATAAGTATGTGATCAGATAATTATTCCACAAGAATTGGTGATTGATCAGCGTGTATTTGGTTATTGATCATTGTTAGGTCAGAGCGATGCCAGCTGTCCAATTGGGTTTGAGCGAGCCAATGGAACGCAGTGCGTCGGTGAGTTTGGCGGTTGTAATCGTACAGGCGGTGGAAATATTCTGTTCTTTAAACAACAGAGAAACTAAACGATCAATCGGAGAAGGTTCTTTCTTTTCATTTCCTAAATGTGAACTTCTGTTGTTAAATGAAAAACAGATCAGTATGCAGGTCCATCCACTGACAGCAGAAGAAGCAATGCTGGTAAAATTAACGTTTTCACGGGATTGGCTGACAGCTTAACGTAGTGCCTGAATAATTGTTATGAAAATATTACATAAAGGAATAATTAGCAGATATGCCTTCCTGTTTTCAAAACTTGTACAAAAAATACTCAGAGCAGCCCTGGTCAGTTACAATACTATGCCGATGACACGGCATAATCTTATCATAGGACAAGATCGGATCAATATGTGGTCATTTGCAGATATGTGTCATCAAACTACAAATAAATCCAGGAATAACAACACTACAGTGGCTGCTTTTAACGAATTAATATGTAAAATAATCCTTATTTAATCTATTTTATACTGAGCTTTGTTCATCTTTGCAAAGGGAACTAAAACTTCTTCCACCAACATTTTATCAGAAAGTTTTAGTAGAAAGAAACCAAAACTGCAGTGTTTAATCTGAGCTGTAACAATTAAAGGTTTAACTGCCTAATTTAACCTTAGACTGTAGTTCTACAGGCTGATATTAGCATTAATGGCTTCAGTGTGATGATTCAGCCATGGACAGTTACTCTGCCATGGTCACAGATGTCATTAATCTCTTTAGCTCGACACACAGATTTCTTGGAGAAAAAATTATAACTAACTGTCGTAACTGCTTTTAAAGTCAGAAGTTTATAAAAGGTGCCCTGTTTTCCTCTGATTTTCTTCTTATTGGTTTCCTTCATATTCCAGTCTGTTTAGACATTAGCGATAAAAAACATATTTACTGCGTGAACAAAAGTGACATCGATCAGAATTAACATAAAGACAATACCAACGAACTGTCAGCTACCAAATGTAAGATCTTCAGCTTTCCTTCTGAACTGCTTCCAAGATAAAGAAATCTTCATCTGACTATTTGTTTAAAGTCTCCATGTTTCCTATGCAATGGATTTCTTTATTTATGACCAGAGGACTGATCCATCTTTAAAAAGTTTATCAGTTTTCTGATGAGCCCACTCGGGATCCGGGCGTTAGTAAATAAACGGTGTCTTAGAGGACGTTTGACGTCGGATCGCTTTGACAGCTGAGAAAAGCCTGAAGTGTTTGTGTGTGTGTGTAGACGTGAATGAGTGCCTGCAGCCGGGGCTGTGTGAGAACGGCATCTGTGTGAACACCAGGGGGAGCTATAGCTGCGTGTGCAGGCTGGGGTTCATCCTCGACGCCTCACATGGAATCTGCATCTGTAAGTAACGCACATTTACATGCACGCTGCCGCCGCCGCCGGCTTGGGAATGAAATGAGGAATGATGCCGACTCCTGTCAGGACTTCCTGAATCCATCTGAGCTCTCCAAGTTTCTCCTGGACTTTGGTTGGCTCGTCTCTCTCAAAGTTTAGCTGTGCAGCACATCAAAGTACAGAAAAGCTGAAGCTGCTGCACAGCTGGAAATAACTCTAATTTCTACTATAGCTGTAACACAGTGGGCAGTGAGGATTTGGCTCCCTGCGCCACCTCAGCAACTGCACTGCAGACTTTCAGCTTTAACTTTAGGTTCTGTTCAAAAGCATCACAGCCATTTTTGTGTTAAGGTGTAAAAGGCTGGACTGGCGAGTGTAATGATGTCACTTAAGATTTTCACTTTGATACCACAGGAGTCTACTCACAAACCCGGTCTAGGACGCACAGACAACCTGCAAACTGAAATTGATAAAATAATATAACACAGGACAAATTATTACTACAGTGTCTGTGTAGTTTATTAGACAAGCTACACAGTGTTGGCTGATTTCAACTTCAAACAGCCACTCAGGTATTAAAGTTACACTGGGCTAATACAGCATTTCTGTAAGTTTAAAGATGTTCTAAACACAATTTTTCTTACAAAGAATTGTTGATTTACTCTGAGCTTTTCTGAAAATCTGAAGATGAGATTCGTCGGACTGCGGCTCAGACCTTCAGCAGGAATAATGAGAGGACTTCTGTGTTTTTAAAGGTCAACTTTAAATCTTTGTTCTGCTCGTTGTTCTTTGGGGAACATGAGGGAGAGGTTCAGTGCTCAGATGGTTTGTATGAAGCCTGACCGGTGCTCCGCTTATTCCGACCGGCATTCAGTGAATCAGAGGAGGAGGAGCTTCAGGATGCTGGTCTACCCGGTAACTGATGACAGCGCTCTAATCAAAGCTTTACTTTTTTTTAACAGTGTGTCTGTGTTTGGTCTCTTTCCTTTCCTGAAAATATTTTTTATATCCAAATTATTGTTTTGTCAAATTGAAGGTTTTTTGTTTGACATCCACACGGACTTGGACAAGCAGCAAAGTGGCTGTGCTTTTTCTATTGTTCTACTTCCTGTTTGTGTTTTAACCTGCGCTTACTGGGCTGAGTTATCACCTCGGAGCAGCTCCCTCCCCACAATCTAGAGTCTGTTTCCTGTAAAAGAAATAAAGCAGAATAAAAATGAAGCCAACACTGAAGCAAATGAAGCTGCAGTTCCTCTGACGTCCAGCAGAGGCAGCAGTGAGTCAGTCAGACTCACATGTTGAAGCTTTAGAGCAGAAATAAACACGTTTACAGCCTGATACACTGATAAACTGTTTGGTTTTTACAGATAATTTTCTCCTTCATAACAAGAATGTTTGCACAACTCACCTGTTTGGATAATGTTGAGGCTTACAGTGTGCATTATTAGGGGCGTGGCCTATTTGACTGGCAGGTGGATGGTGGCACAGGTGTCAGTAGCTGTCTGCTAGCTTCACCTGAACTGGACTTCTGGACCGTGTTTGTGCTGTTGGAGCCTTTTGGAGCATTTTAAATGACATCATGACATCATGTGACTTGCTGCGAGGTTACTGTAGTAACAACCTGTCCACGAATCAGAGCTCCAGTTTCAATGAGTGAAATTCTTGGATTTTACTTGGATGTTGCTGAACACTAACTAGCAGGCATGGATGAAGCTTCCTAACCTAACTGTCTTGGTTAGGAAGGAACGCTTCGTGCTCATCTACTCGTTTTGAGGAGTTGCCCCCTGCTGGTCAGTAGAGAGAATGCAGCTTTGGAGCACTTCAGTGTCGGTTTCATTTTTCAGACCCAGAATTTGCGCCCATCTTTATATCAGAGCGGTGCCAACACTCGTGTCCTCTTTGATAGAAGCCATGAGCCAGATGTTTGCATGGGAGGTTACTGAGGTTGAAATCGTTGTGAAGCTGTGTCTGCAGGTGGTTAAACTTCCATCTGAATTTAGATCTGTTGACACGGCCTGCTGATGTTCTGTGTCGTCGGAAAGCTTCCTGTTCCTGCATCACCTGCCACGTCTGTGTTGAATCCCTTCCTGTGTCATTTAAACCGAGCGGGTCGGGGTACAGCATGTACTTGTTCTGCATGCAGCGCTCTGCTTCAGGTCCCGGCCGAGCTTCGGGTGGATCATCTGTGTAACGAGTCGCCCTCCTTCCTGTGTGTCCTCCTCAGCCCAGAGTGTCATTTCTGAGGAGAAGGGTCAGTGTTACCGGGTCCTGGGTTCAGGTCTGGGTCCGTCCTCCTGCTCCCTGCCTATTCTCAAAAGCATCACCAAGCAGATCTGCTGCTGCAGCCGGGTCGGCAAAGCCTGGGGACCCGACTGCCAGAGGTGTCCGTACTTCGGTTCAGGTAGGTTCAGGAGGACGACGTCACGACTGAGCTTATTTGGTTTCAGGTGAATTTTCAGGTGTGTCCTCTCTCTTCCCTCCATCTCCTCCTTCAGTGGCCTTTAAGGAGATCTGTCCCGCTGGTCCTGGTTACCAATACTCGCCTTCAACTCTTAAATTCAACCAGAGAGTCAGCGAACCGGAAGGGGGCGGCAGAGCTGTGCTGGTAAACGGCAGCAACAAGGACAACCAGGGTACCTGCTGAGCACACAGCATCCTGCACACCGGCTGCTCATGCTTCTGTCATGGGAGTGTTGGGTCTGCTCCACCTTAATGATCAATAATAACAATAATAATAATAATAAATTATGACAGCATTAAAAACTTTAAAGTTGACACAAGTTATCGTCTACGAACGGTTCACAGCCTGCCTGACAACCAGTTTTCCTATTAATGACGTTAATAAATGAAACAGCAGCTGCTGACAGACTGAGCTCCTCTTAAACTGAGCCTAAACTCGTATTTAATGTTGTCACCATTACACTGCAGCATTTACAGCTACATTCTGACTCTGTTTCAGATGAACTCTTGTTTTTGGTTGTTTCTAAGTCTTGTTTGAAGACTATTTGTTTTTTTAGGATTAAAAAAATCCCTGGTTGATTAAGATTACACCTGCAGATCGATTTAAACAAAGATGGATGTGTTAGTCAGTGTGATGAGCCTGAGTCCCCCCCTGCAGGTCCTGTTTCAGGGTCCGGGTCTCTACTGAAACCCCCTCCCTCTGGTGGAGCGAGTACCTCCGGTGCCACAGGAGCTGGGACCAGACCCAGTCCTCCCCAACCTAAGCCCCAGCCAGGCACAGGCTTTCCCGCCTCCTCCTCCTCCTCGTCCTCCTCCAGGCCTGTGCAGCCTGGCAGTGCTGGTACCTCGGCCACCCAGGGCAGAACCCGGCCTTCGCAGAGCCGACCTGATTCAACACAACTGAGACCTCAGCCTCCGTCCGCCGGGAGCCAAGGTAGCAAAACAGCGACGTTTTATTTGTCGGAATCATCGATAAACACCAGCAACAGTTTTACTTCAACTTTACAGACAGTGAGACGGTTTCAGGACATCTGAGGTCAGATTTAGAGCAGAATCCTCGTTTGGCACTAAAGAGCTGTTGGGTTATGTTAAAGAAGCCTTTTCACACACGTTTGCACAAACATGAACACAACATGATTTACAACAACCTGCAGCATATAAACGCATCGAACACTGTGAGTTGGCTCTGCCTCTGTTTTTTATTATTGCACTTTTATATTTTCTTCAAATTTGATCTTCACTTTCACAGTTTTGCTGACGACACCCAGCTGCATCTCTCCTGCAGACCTGATTCCTCCCTCCCACCTTCTTCCCTGACAGAGTGCCTCACTAAATTAAAATCCTGGTTCAGCTCTAATTTTCTTAAGCTTAATGAGGATAAAACTGAAATCCTCCTTATTGGCACTAAATCCAACCTGCTGAAGGTGAACCATTTCTCACTCACCATCGATAACTCCACAGTTTTCCCTTCACATCAGGTTAAGAGCCTTGGTGTCACCTAGACAGTTCACTTTTCTATAAATCTCACCCGTTCTGCCTATTTCCATCTACGCAACATTAACAGATTACGTCCTTCTCTTTCCACCCAGTCTACGTCCATTCTTGTCCACAATCTTGTTACCTTCCGCATTGACTACTGTGATTTTCTCTTGCATGGTCTCCCCCCAAAATTGGGGGAATTTCACTGGCTCCCAGTGAAATTTCAGACAAACTTCTGCTCACCTTCAAGGCCCTTTATAACCTTGCTCCTCCTTACCTCTCTGACCTGTTAAGCACGATCTCTTCTGCCCGCTCACTTCGATCTTCTTCTTCTATCCAGCTTGCTGTGCCTTCTTCCCACCTCACCACCATGGGAAGCAGAGCTTTCAGCTGCTCTGCTCCCAGGCTGTGGAGCTCTCTGCCCCCAGATATAAGAAACACTGGTTCTCCCTCAGTTTAAATCTCAACTCAAAACCCATCTGTTCAAATCTGCATATTCACTGTGAACCTACTTTGTTCATTTTATCTTGTGCTTTTGTTTTATTGTTCTTCATTGTGTCGTTGTTCTATTATGTGTTTTATTCTAAATGGTACATTGGTAAGTGTCCTTGGGTGTCTTAGGTGCTTTTTAAATAAAATTTACTATTATTATTATTATTATTATTATTATATTTGATATTAATTGCCTTTGCTTTTTGAATCGAGGCTGAGTGATTCGTTAAAATCTTAGCAGAGCTTTTTCTATAAAAACTGCATCTACTAAGCACGAAGTCTTTGGCAGCGTTTATGAAAAACTTTACCTGCTGTACCTTGGTTTGATGAAGATGACTGTGTCAGTCTGAGAGGAAGGAGCTGCTGAAGACAAACTGACCTGTCGTTGTTGTTTTTGCTCTCAGCAGCTGATCGTTTCTCTTCAGTGTATCGGGCCGATCCGCCGCCATCCAGAGGGGACTCCCTACCCGCTCCGGCCCAGCCGCAGAGCCCCGAGCGTGGGTCGAGACCCAGGGAAGACCTCCCTCTGGAAGCCAGACCGGCTGTGAGCCCGACGCCCCCCAGAGTTCAGAGTGAGTACTGGACGGAGAGGACGGCGTGTTGGAAGGACGTTCTTCATCTGTTCCGTCCTTTGAAAAGAAAAAAGTTCACTCAGATCAAAGCAGAATCCGTTTGATAAAACTGTCTTTGTGCAGAATGAAAGATCAAAGGTGTGTTTATGTGAATGATCTGATGTGTGAGAGCACTGACCTGAGGTCAGCTGCAGACGCTCGGCAGGTGACGAACCTTAACCGCCATGTTTCTGTGTGCGTGCAGCAGTACAAAGCGTGTGTGAGAGCAGGCCGGGTGTGTGTGGCCGTGGCCGCTGTGTGGATCAGCCAGGTGGGAAACACACCTGTGTGTGTGATCGGGGCTTCCAGCTCAGCTCGCAGCACACACACTGCCAGGGTGAGATATGAACACGTGAATCCTTCAGCCCTGCTTGAAAATGTCAGCTGACTGAGAGTTTGTAACAATACGATCTGTAGCAGTAACAGTTACTACATATCAAAACAAATAAAGATGAACTTATTGAAAGTCATCATATTGTATCACATCATGTTTATTATAGAAAAATATTTCTGCATTATTTAACAGATATTTTACAATAACAGTAATTTTTATTTTACAAATAAACAAATGCAACATAATTTGAATAGATTTTGTTTATTTTACATTCAATATTTTCCTTATTGTCTTTTCTGTGGATAGTTTCCAAACATGTTTTGTGTATATGTACACACAGAAACTGAATGTTGTATTTGTTCAGTTGTTTTTTAATGTTTTTATAATGATATTAGTGTGTGTGTGTGTGTGTGTGTGTGTGTGTGTGTGTGTGTGTGTGTGTGTGTGTGTGTGTGTGTGTGTGTAGATGTGAACGAGTGTTTGCAGTCTCCAGCTGTGTGTTCAGTAGGAGAGTGTGTGAACAGCATTGGAAGCTACAGATGTGTGTGTCCATCTGGATACAGAAGCAACAGCCAGCAGACCAGTTGCCAAGGTGACGGCCACTTCCTGTCTTTTTTAAAGCGTTTTCATGTTTGTTTTCCTGCCCGGTGACAGCCGTGAGACGCTTCAGCACGTCTGCACAGTCTGGACCTTTAAGATCGCAACATAAGCACGAGCTATGTAACCACATCACGGAAAATATGACTGGAAAACATGATGGCAGAAAATAAAACTCTGGAACCTTTTTATTGAAATGTTGGAAAAACTGGCATAAATCAGAACATGTTAGTAAAGGTTTGTTTGGCTCCTCAGACATCGACGAGTGCCGGCAGAATCCCTGTGTTAACGGTCGCTGTGACAACACGGCGGGCAGCTACAGGTGCATCTGTCGGCTTGGTTACAGGCTCGTTGGCAACACCTGCACAGGTGAAGGGCCGCCATGGCTCAGCTTAATTCATTTCTATTTTAGAGATGACTTCCAGACAGCCTCACACGGTTCAGAAAAGCTGCACTCTCACGTTAAACGTGTGCAGACTGCTCTAAACACTCAGTTTACAGGAGTTTTTTCAACTCGTGGGTTTGTATGATGTCATAGAGAGTCAGTCAGCCAATCAGAAGACAGCTGGCCTTAATCATCTGTCTAAAACTGACTGATAAATCTGCTATAAATGACATCACTGATGTGTGTGTGTCAGATGTGGATGAGTGTGCCGACCCTCTGCAGTGTCCGGGTCAGGAGTGTGTGAACGCTCCGGGCTCGTACCGCTGTGTTTCCTGCCCGCCGGGACACGGACTGCTCAACAACGTCTGCAGAGGTAAACAAATATGTTATAATATATTAATAATTATTTTCATTTAAATAGTTCAATGAAAACATCTAGTTGATTTTTTTCATTAGAAAATACAATTTTACAATTAGCAGTATAGTTGAAAAATATCAGAAAAGAATTCTTAGTAAACTCTATAAAAACGTCTCTCAGCTGCTGTTTCATTCAGACGCTGTCGTCCTGCCGTTCAACTATTATGGTTATAAACTATTACAAAGCCTTTAAGCATTAATATTCATATTTTCCCAAACTGAATAGATATTAGTAAATATGTTACTTATACTTGTGAAAATGACAAGATTTCTGTAAATATATTCATATAAAAGTCAAAATGTGAAAAGATAAATATAGAATAAAATCTAAATTAAATAAAGTATCAGTAAAATAATAGTGCATCAGAATGTTTTTGTTTTGTGTGATAGATGCTGCTGAGCTCTAATAAAAATAAAAAAGATTTGAAAATGTTTGTAAACTATGAAAGTATCCCAAAAATTTAAAAACAATACTAACATGTAATTAAGAAGGTAGAGCGGTCGCCCCATGATCAGAAGGTCGTGGGTTCAAATCCACCGAATGGCTATCCTGAGGTACCCCTGAGCGAGGTACACACTGCTCCCGGGCGCTGGGCGAATGGGTTAAATGCAGGACTACAGACGACGCCCACGTGTTTAAAAAACAGCATATTTGAACATTGTTTCTCTGTTTGTAATTGTTTTGTTCTTTTTTATTAACTCATTCACTGCCATTGACGTCTATAGCCGTCAATTGCAGTGAATGAGTTAATGGGTTTAACTCATTCACTGCCAATGGCTGGCAGTGAATGAGTTAAAAAATGGATCCTGAACTGTCAGTGACTGAAAAACCAAAAACCTTTCCTTCCTCCTGAAACTCGCTGACGTTCCCGTTTGTTTACGTTTCCTCTTTCTCGCTGTGCCTTCAGACGTTGACGAGTGTCGTCAGAATCCCTGCTCCAACGGCCGCTGTGAAAACACGCCGGGGAGCTACCACTGTGTCTGTCACCATGGTTACAAGCCCCAGAACAACACCTGCACAGGTACACATCACAGATAGTTAGTGATGTAAATGTTAGTTTGTTTGTATGACGTCACTCTGTGTGTGTGTGTGTGTGTGTGTGTGTGTGTGTGTGTGTGTGTGTGTGTGTGTGCAGACGTGGATGAGTGTGCAGAGCCATCTCAGTGTCCTGGGCAGATGTGTGTGAACTCTGTGGGCTCGTACAGATGTGTTTCCTGCAGAGCAGGATTCAGACTGACCGACAGACAGTGCACAGGTACACACACACACACTCGTTTTCATATCGTAGTGAGGACATCTCCTTGCCGTGCTTTCCCTAACCCTCAGCCTAACCTGACTGTAACCCTGACACTAAAACCACAATTAGATTCTTAAAAGTGTCGTAAAATTCGTGGGGACTTTGTCCCTGTAAGGGCTGTTGGTCCCCACAAGTATAGTTTCTGTCCTCACAAAGATGTCTAAACACACACACACACACACACACACACACTCTGTGTGCAGATATAAACGAGTGTGAGGACGGCGACTCCTGTCCCGGTCAGCGGTGCGTGAACACTGAAGGCTCCTACAGGTGTGTGGACTGTCGGCAGGGATACCACAGCGTGGATGGAGTGTGTACAGGTACACACACACACACACACACACACACACACACACACAGGAGCTGAGCCTGTTTAGAAATCAACATTATGTTTAGACTCATCACCGTTTCATCATCCGTCCATCCTCAGCTTGCAGTGGCAGAAGGCGGAGCCTCTGAGCAAATCAGTTAGGAAAGGCCGATCAATTTTCAATTCAATTCAATCCAGTTTTATTTACACAGCGCCAAATCACAACAACAGTCGCCTCAAGGTGCTTTATATTGTACAGTAGATCGTACAATGATACATACAGAGAAAAACCCAACAATCACATGACCCCCTGTGAGCAGCACTTTGGCGACAGTGCGATCAATGATGATGTCACTCTCTGTGCTGCAGACATAGACGAGTGTGCGAGCGGCAGGGTGTGTGAGGCAGAACGGGTCTGTGTGAACACCGTCGGCTCGTTCAGGTGCGACTGTGCGCCCGGGTATCGAACCTCCAGCCTGGGAAGGCAGTGCAGAGGTGAGGTCGCTCTCTGCTAGTTAAATATAACTTTACCAGATGTGGGTGGTGATGAGGCGCCCTCGTACAGAACGGTGCGTTAAACAGATCATTTTAATGTGTGTGTGTGTGTGTCCTCAGACATTAACGAGTGTTTGGAGGGAGATTTCTGTTTCTCCAGAGGAGAGTGTGTGAACACGCCTGGATCCTACACGTGTGTGTGCTCGCAGGGATTCACGCTGACTGAGAACCGGACGGCCTGCCTCGGTGAGTCCCGCCGATCAAACGGGGAACGTTTATCAGGACGCTTCTTTGGGTTTGTGCGCACGTCCGTATTCAGATGTTTAAGTATTTCATTTAATACCACAGCAGCCTCATGACCGTCGCAGGAAAGCAGGACTGATGTCGGAGCTGTTGTGTCGGATATATTACAGTCAGGTCCAAAAATCTTTTACACCTGTGCAGTCAGCGATGGCCTGCAGAGCCCGCAGACATCACTGCATGCTGCGTGAGATGCTCCGCAGGCCTTCGGCTGCTGCCTGTTTGTGGCTCTTCAGTTTTGTCTTCTCGTGTCTTTGTGCAGACGTGGACGAGTGTGTTAAGGCGGGGGTGTGTTCGGACGGTCGCTGTGTGAACACCGAAGGCTCGTTCCAGTGCGACTGTCAAATTGGCTTCACCACCAACCCCGAGGGGACTGCCTGCCTTGGTATGCACACACACACACAAGTGTGACACCTTCAGCCCAGTTTAAGTAGGCCTGACCTGTTAATTAGGTCATGACCCTGCAGCCTGTGTCCATCTCCTCGTGGCTGCCAGTACCATCCAAAAAATAGACGAACAGATAAACTGATAAATGAATCGTGACAAATAGAAGAAGAATATTAAAATAAGTATTTTGACTTCCTGTCAGCCAAAGAAAGAAATTAAAATAGGACCGATGTATTCAAAGCCTTCATGAGGTGCATCATGTAGTGGTTCAAAGCTCTTCTCCATACAGTCTCTGTAATCTGACCAGCAAAATAAAATATCTTATAAACGTACAACGTGCTGCACATACTTGCTCATATATATTAACTGGACCCAGTACTGAACCCTGAGGTGCTCCATAGGAAGTGTTGGCCTCATGTGAATCAAAGTTTATATTACTGATGTTTAAGGCCAATCCAAAGCTGTGAACCTTGACGTCTAACGACCTCTGTCTGTCTGTCTCTTTCAGATGTTGATGAATGCGTCTTGTCCGGTGGTTCTATTTGCGGGTCACAGCGATGTGAGAACACCATTGGTTCCTACAGCTGCCTCACTAACTGTGAGCCAGGCTACCAGGTGAACCACGCTGGGATCTGTGAAGGTGAGTCTGAGCACATGTTACCGACGCTTCAGCATCCACTTAGAACAAACGAGGGAGGCCTCATCTCTGCTTAGGCCAGACGAGCCGTAGAAAATGGATGAACGGATGGACTTGACTTCCTTCTCGTTTCTTCTTTCAATCAGATATTAATGAATGTGGCAACACGACAGTGTGCGGCGCAAACGCCTACTGTCAGAATCTGTTTGGAACTTACCGCTGCATTTGTGACCAAGGCTTCACCTCCTCCGCCGATGGAAAGACCTGTGTGGGTACGTGTTAGAGCACAAGTGTGAGGATTCAAGGCTTTTGGGTTCTTGGGTCTAAAAAAAACCAAAAAGACATTTTAAGACTTTGGATCCTACAAATGTTTTTTTCAGCATCACATGTTTGACCCTCTAAAGCCTAACCTGTCGCTAGATTCAGATGGGTGTTTTCAACATCTGTAACTCCTGAACCATTTGCTCAATTGAAAGAATTCCAACGGTTCCTGAAAGCAGCGACGCTGCGCTTTTCAATGATATTAGGGTCATTACGGTGATCCCAGGCACGGAGTCACAGCAGCCCCGCAAAGACAAGCATTTTATCGGGCATTTGGCTTCTTTTAACTGAGTTTCATTATTGTTTGTTTTTGCTGTTAACTTTCTTGTTTTGTGTTATTTCCCAAAATTTGGACGTGTGCCTGAGATTATTGTTTTTTTAATGGGTTAATCTACAAAACAATCTAAACAAGGTTTATGTGAATGAAATGAAATGCGTTTGTGTATGTGTCTTTCAGATGTGAATGAGTGTGTGTCTCTGCCGGGTGTGTGTGGCTCAGCTCGTTGTGAGAACGTGGAGGGGTCCTTCATGTGTGAATGTGACCAGGCAGGTCACAGCTACGACACGGCGGCCAGACGGTGCGTCCACGCTGCAGCTCTAGGTAAACACATATGAGACTACATGGCTGCTGTGTAGCTGCTGCTGCTCACACGAGCCACAACCCAACTCCATCCCAGCCCCATGCCGTTAATAAGATTTTCATCTCTGTTGTTGCTGATGTTGCTGGTGTGGGGGCCTCTTCCATTGCTGAAGATGGAATAACGATCCTTGGACTTTCTTTTCCCCAACTGCCAACAAAAGCTGCAATTCCTCTAATAGCCACTTGAGGTTGTAGTTAGTCAGTCTCCTTGTTAAAGCATCCAGCTTTAAAACAGAAATTAACAAAAGTTACCCCTTCTTAACAACAGTATGAGAGGGGAATGATTTTTAGAACTGAGCTGACTAATTTTATTAAGGCTTAAAGTTGGCCTTGTTTGACTGACAGGTGGATGGTCACACAGGCAGCTGTAGCTGCTAGCTGTCTGCTAGGCTTCACCTCAGCTAGCTAGCATGCCTGAACTGAACCTCTCCTCTGTGTTTGTGCTGTTTGAGCTTTTTTAATGCAATTATTGGATCAATAAAAAGGCTACTGTGAGGTTATTGTACTAAAGAGGTCTGAGCTCTAGTTCTGCTCAGTGAAATTCTTGGGTCTGTGTCCTGGAGCATGCTAACCAAGCTTGATAGCATTAGCTGATATCTTGGGTCACTTCTGGCTACACGAAAAACTGTATTTTGAAATAACCGGTGATGGTCGCCAAAGATGACCTCGCAGAACAAAAGCTAAAACATGCCAAACACCCAAACCTGTTTGGTAGATGCTAATTTAACTTTCATATTCTCATTTTTCTTCAGAAACAGACATAGTCCGTGCCCGCCAATCCTCTACCACCACCTCCTCCTCCGCTTTCCACGCCAGCGTGGTGGAGCTGTCTCCGATGCTGCCGCCCCTTCCTCAGGCTCGTCCTGGCGAGCTGAGGGAGTGTTATTACAACCTGGCAGAGCGGGGAACCTGCAGCCTGCTGGCCACCAACACCACCCAGCAGGAGTGCTGCTGCACACTGGGGCAGGGCTGGGGGCTGGGCTGCCAGTACCACCCCTGCCCTACAGCATACACAGGTGGGAAAGCTTGTGTGTATAGTGAATGCAGGCCACCTATCAACCTATCAGGACTTCAGAGCTGCGCTTTGGTTCATTTTCTGATAAAGTCTTTCTGTGTTGCAGCTGAGTTTCTAACTCTGTGTCCCAGTGGGAATGGATATGTTACAGAAGGACCAGGAGCCTTCAGCTACAGAGGTACAAACACAGACAGACCTCTTTAACCCTGACCCCACTGCATTTCACTTCCTGACTGATGATGTTACTGGGTCGCAGAATGTCCGGTCGGCACAGATACCGTTTCCAGATGTTTTCAGATATTTGCTGTGTTTTCAGAAAGTTGGGAATTAGTAACCCAGAAGGTATAAGAGTGTTTTTAAAACCCTCAGACTCAGAAAGTCTGGACTGTAAAAAACAGGATCAGTAACAATCCGTACGTCACAACGCTGCAGGGAGGTACAGCGGACATGAATGAGAACATCTTTGAGACACGTGTCCTTTTTCGTGCCTTTGTTGCCAGATGTGGATGAGTGTAAGCGTTTCCATCCAGAGGTGTGTAAGAACGGCGTGTGTGTCAACAACATCCCGGGATACAGCTGCTACTGCTCCAGCGGATACGTTTACAACAGCACGCTGCTGGAGTGTGTTGGTACGCCGAACCGAAGCTCAGCAGCTTAATTTGCTCAAACCGATTTGAATTTCTGTGTCAATAAAGTTTTTTCCCTCCTTGTTTGTGTCAGATCATGATGAGTGTGAAGAGGAGAGCTGTGTGGGAGGGATTTGTGTGAACACAGTTGGTTCGTATTACTGCAGCTGTCAGCCTCCTCTGGTCCTCGACGACACCCAACGAAACTGTGTCAACTCCTCCGACCTCAATCAGGGTAAACCTGAGCTTCCTGCTTCTACTTCTCCTCCCTAGAAATAATAGAAATATCCTTTATTGTCCATCATCACGGAAACTCTGGTGTTCCAGCAGCACAGTGACAGGCAGACGCAGCATGCAGACTCACACAAAAGTCGAGAAACTATATGAATAGCTTCCTGCCATCAGTTTTGCTTTGCTTTCTCTGCTCTGGTGTTGACTTCTTCATGCTCTCCAGATGAGAACCTGTCCATATGCTGGCAGCACGTGACGACAGGCCTGGTGTGTCAGAGCGTTCTGATGGGAGCTCATATCACCTTCACAGACTGCTGCTGTCTGTATGGGCAGGGCTGGGGGTTCAGCTGCGCCCTCTGTCCTGCCCCCGACACAGGTAAACAAAAGAACCACTGGAAACTATAAAAACATCTGGTGTCTCCTCAGGAAGGCTGTTAGGAAGACGTCGAGAGGTTTTATTGTTTTTATACCTCCAGAAATCATCAAAAGCTCCAAAGCCGTGTGTATTCAGTGTTGTAGATTTTGAAGCCATTACCCCGACGTGGTGACATTTACAGGAGAAGAATTTTAAGTTGTTAAACTGGAATTTGAATTGGGAAGCCTTCCTGCTGTCACCCTCTGTGGAAGCCCAAAGATGAATTTCAATGTAGAGGTCACAGCTGTAGTTTAAACATCCTAAATATCATCAGTTGGTATGATGACCTTGTAGCATATTTAACAGATTAACTGGCATTCGTCTCTCCACAGAGGGGTATGCCAGTATGTGCAGTTCGTTCCCTCCTCCGCCTCTTTTCCCGGCGACTTATCCGGACTCTGAAACGGAAGCAGGTCGAAGACGAGGGAGTGGTACAGAAAACTGTTCACATTTCTCAGTTTTATTTTGAGTTTTAATCTAAAGTCGAGTTTAATTTGACTTTCTCGTTCCTCCTCATGAACTCAGCTTCTCCAAACCTGCCTCCTTATGGACTCGACTACTTCCCTGTGATTCCCGGCAGAGACTACGGTCACTCCGACTATGATGATTACTCTCCAGCAGAGGGCAGCAGGTCAGGCTTCAGAGGGAGCCTGCCAGATGAAACGTATCGTAGGCCTGAGTACAGGTGAGACCAAACTCATGGCTGTCGCTGTTCTAATAATCATCAGGTTACGTTAACAGATGTTTGTGTGTCACAGCACTGGTTACTACTCCGAGGGAGACTACGGGCCTCCTGACAGCTCCCAGTCCAGACCGCCTCCCTTCCGCATTCCTCCGGACCCACGAGCTGACATTGGGCTTGGAGTCCTGCCTCATCCACCCGACAGTCCTCCTCTCAGCCTGGCCCCGCTGCCTGGAGGGCGCTACGAGGAGACAGAGGAGGAAGGGGAGGACAGGGCGTGGAGGCCGGGGCCGCCCTTCCCTTCTTTCACCGACAGGAGCGGAGGAGGAGGGGTACCGAGGAGGCTGTATGAGAGTGAGTCCAGAAACAAAACTTTTATTTAAAATGCAAAGAAAAATATAAAAACGTGTGAACATAAAGCGCTGCTTCAGTGCTGAGGCCAAAGGTCGAGGTGGACCGGGTCAGGCCAGGTGAGCAGCAGGTGAACTAGCTGAAACTACCAACACAGTGAAGCCTGCTTTCTCCTTCTCTCATCTCTCAGGGCGTTACGAGTCATACGCCAGCCTGAGCACAGCTGAGGATTGTGGGATCCTGCACGGCTGTGAGAACGGCAGGTGCATTCGTGTTGCAGAGGGTTACACCTGCGACTGTTACCAAGGATACGAGCTGGACATGACCACTATGACCTGCATAGGTAAGGCTGCAGAGGAGAGCACAGATCGCTATGAGACAGCAAAGAAGAAGATAAACTGTTAAAGCCTCAATCACAGACGCCCAGAGACCCGATTCACATTTCCCCCTAGCAACCAGCAATTGCCAGGCAGTCGTCCTTTGCTGTGTGACCAGGGCTTGATGAATCACATTTATATGTTAGATTTCCAGTACTGAATTACTGATTGTGTGTGTGTGTGTTTGCAGATGTAAATGAGTGTGAGGACAGCGTCAGGATTGAGTACCCGTGCGTGAACGCTCGCTGCGTGAACACCGACGGCTCGTACCGCTGCGTCTGCAGGAGAGGATACGTCATGTCTCGCAGACCGAACCACTGCGTGGCTGCTTAGAACAGAGTGCGCTGGACTGGGATCTGTAGGCCAGTGCAGACTGGCTCAGGCTTTTTTATTCTCCAGATTAGATAAACTAGACTTGACCAGGCGAGAATAGACTGGACACTAAAAGACTCTAGATTGCACTAAACTGGGCAAAGCTAGACTGGGTTAGCCTGAACAACACAGGGCGACGTCTGATTAGAGAGCAACTCATCATCCTGGTTTAGCCTGAACACACTTCACTAATGCCTCCACAATCCAGACCTGAATACACCCTCCATTTGTTCACCTCACCTGTGTTGCAGGTGGATTGTGTTTGTTTTTCTTTAACTGGGCAGGTAGTTATCAGACACGTGGTAGTTTGGTTGGACCTGAGTGGTGATAAAAGCAACGATAAATCAGTGTGTCTGTTAGAGCCCAGTGTGGTTGCTGTAAAACACCTGGTTGCCTCAAATTGTGTGTAATTCAGTCAGAGTTCATACATAAACATAAACCTGAGCAGATCAACGTGTCATTGTCTCAAACCCCCGTAGGAAGCCAGGACTATCCTTGGATGGCCCCATGGATGAGTATTCTTATTATACTGCAGTATTTACTCCATTTGGACACGCATCTGTTTCATCACCTTGTGTGTGTGGAGTGCACAGGACACGGAAAATTCAGTGACACATAGCAAGCAAATATCACCTAATATTATAATAACTTTATAAAGCCTAAAAACACGAGGGTGAAAAATGTTTCAGGTTTAGAAACTCTGTTTTAGGGAACAAAAGGTTTGGCCTAAAAGGGACCCATCATCATCATCATCATCATTATTGTTATTATCACTTTCATCTACATTTTTATTCCTGGACTCCACTAGAGTAGCTTTACATGACACACAGTGGCACATTAATCTTCCTCTAATCGGCACGAGCCGATTTTGTTTCTGTCTCTTTAAGGCCCCCCTCCCTATGAGCCCACATTCTTCTGATTGGCCAGCTTCTGGAAGCCTGTTGGGAAGCAGCTCCCAGTGATTCTGGCTTGTACTTCCTTTATTCTGTTAGCTGACTCACTGTCGAAGCTTTTGTTTCCCTCTAACTCGTCACAGGAAACACAATTCGTCTTCTTTAATATTCAGATGTTTGTAGCTGATGTATGACTCGGTGGTGCAGTCCACTCCACAGTCCTCTAAAGAGTGTGGGAGTTGAATGTTCCAATCAGACTAAAGAGTTTATTAAAGTTTGTAAAGTTAACGACTCGTACCTCCTTGAAGCGTTGTGCCCAGTCTGACCCAGTCTAGCCCTGTTTGACCCCGTTTCATTTAAAGCACTACACAAGGAACCAAGCTGCGCCCAAAGCCCACCAATACACTCACTGGTCACTTTATTAGGTACACCTCTGCGGTAACAGGTTGGACGCCCTTTTTCCTGTTTTAATTCTTCATGTCTCAACATTCCTGTAAGATTTTGGTTCATATTAACCTGACATCATCATGACATCATCCCAAAGCTGCTGCAGATTTGTCATCTGCATCCATGATGAGAATCTCCCGTTCCACCACATCACAAAGGTGATCCACTGGAATGAGATTTTGGGCTGAAACATTGGTTTCCCTCAATATTTGAGTACAGTGAACTCATCATCATGTTCAAGAAACCAGGCTGAGATAATCTGAGCTTTGTGACACGGTGTGTTATCCTGCTAAAAGCAGCCATCAGAAGATGGGTTGGACATGGTCAGCAACAACACTTAGGTAGGCTGTGGGGTTTAAACGATGCCACCACACCAGCAGCTTCAGAGGTGCTCTTCTTTATGCACGGCACTGTAACAAGCAGCTGTTTGAGTTATCGTTGCCTTCATGTCATCCTCCTCTGACCTCAACAAGTCATTTTCTCCCAGAGAACTGCTGCTCACTGGGTATTTCCTCTTTTTCCGACTGTTCCCTTTAAACACAGAGATGGTTGGTGGGGAAATCTGTTACAGCAGTTTCTGAAACACTCAGACCAACAACAACACATCACCTGTCTTACCCATTCTGATGCACAGTTTGAAACTCAGCAGGTCTCCTCGACCACATCTTTGCACACTGGGTTAAGCCGTGTGATTGGCTGATAAGACATTTGAGCTAACAAGCAGTTAAACAGGTGTACCTAATAAAGTGAGAGATGAATGTAGGTTTTCCATGACACACTGTCAGGATGTGGTCATGTACAGCAAAACAAAAGGACTGAAGTTGTCCTGCAGGTGAAGAAATGCTTTATGTATGTTTGCTTTGTTTAACCAGCAGATTTGTGAAGTTCAGATAAGTCTTTACAGACGTAATCGTCAGCTTTATTTATACAGCTAGCTCTGGTGTGCTACAGTAAAAGAAATTAAAGTAGAACGATGTGTTCAATTAAACTGAGATTAAAAAGGAGTCAATGTATTTTACATATGCATTCATAAAATGACCAGCCTCAGTTCTTACTTACAGTTCTTACTCTTATTAGCATGAGCCTAAATGCGTGTTAGTGCGCAAAGTTAAAGCTAGTACACTCACTATGTGCTACAGTCAAAGCTAGCGTAACCTAAAGTTATGCTAATTAAAGACTTTAAATGTTAGCTATCAAGCACTAGCTAATATTTTGTTCTAAAAGTTACTGCAATATTTAAATTAATATTCAACACACCTAGTAAGCTTACTAATGAGCTATTAGCTTGAAAAATATTAATACATGTGTGCTCATTAGCTATTAGCACACTACTGAATGAAGAAGCAGGGAGTTTTAGTTTGACGCACTGTTCTACTTCAAAATAATTTTCTGTGTAGTCGCAAAAATACTGACGCAACAGTTTTAGAAGACTGCATTTAATTCTTTTAACTGAATATTTGTTTATTTTCTGGCCATGTTTGCTAGCTAGTGATCTGTTAGCTGCAGGATAATAGGCTAGTTTTTTTTTTCTCTACTAGATATCCGGTTGTTCAGTGATGACGCGACGAATCCTACTTCCGGGTCTAAAGTAGTCTGCGTTTAATATGGCTTTTGTGTTGTTAACATGTTTAATGTTATGTATTTTCTTCTATTTGATCTCAAAAAGCTCCTAAAACAGTCAGTGATCACTGTTGACCTCCCTCGGCTTTTATTACCGCTAATCATTTATTTAAGCTCAGTTTTTAAAACCTTAGGATGTAACTACAGCCCAGCCCATGCAGCAGTATATGAATGACTAACCTCGTATTGTGGATGGATTATCTCAGTTGTTCTCCTGGCTGAAGTTTGGTCCTTTTACAGCATCCTGCCATGCGATTACATTTGTTCCTGACCACCGACAACACTCACGTTAACTTTTATTGAGTGGAAAAAAAAGTTATCTTGTTTATATTAAGCTAACATAGCTGTGTCGCTAGCGGTCACGTAGCACATCATTATATACCAGGTAGCTCAACTTCAGTAACCCTACAAACGTCACTGCTGTTTAGTTTTCTGTCTTCATTTATGCTGGAAGTGATAACAGAGCTGTACGTTTTAATTTGTTTCCAAAACCCCGCAGTCAGGACATGCTATATTGTATTTAGATAGAAGCTAGCGAGCTAACTCCCTGCTAACTTCTAACTCCGTTAAATGTCATAAATTCCGTTTTCATGGATGCCTGGATGTTAAACTCAATTGTTACACCTGGTAGAGCAGAACGCTGATCATTTTATTAAAGATGAAAGACTTTAGACAGTTTTTCAACTCTCAGTAATGCCATAGTGATCGTTTGATATATGGACCTGCAGCGGAGTTTAGGCCCAGACACGGCTAGTGACGTCAGACTGAACAACCGGATTGATTATTGAAATACCATGACAACGGGTTCACAGTCCCCTAGTTTGTGCCTTTTAATTGTTGATTTATAGTTTATAGCAACATTTATTAACTTTTGATATGTTAGATGAGATTGAAAAAAACTAACTTGGAACAGAATTTTTTTTTTTATTTACCAAAGTACTAACATACTGAGTCAGAATTCCCAGAGTTCATTTACTATATTAACCAAAGTAAATATTCTGTCAGCCTTTTAGCAGTGAGTGGACTGTTAACTGTTAGCTCAAGAGCTAATTTATAAGCTAAGCTTCCCAACAGTTTCACAAATCGTTAGCTTCATAGCATAATTGCCTAAGTCATTTGACTAAGTCAATGACTTAGGCACTTATGCTATGAAGCTAACGAAATGATATTGTTTTGAAATTCAGATATGTACAAAATGTCACAGAAAATCTCCTTTGTGAACAGACATTCCTAACTTTATATATTAGGACAGTTATATGTTCTTTAGTACGGAAGAGGAATAGGGCCACTGTTTAAAAAAAAAAAAATGGGCATGTCTTTTTTTTTTCTTTTCTAGAATTCTGAGAAAAAAACTTTTTCATCCGAATAATCTTTAAACTTTAATCTCTTTAAACTTTAATCTCTTTAATCACTTTAATTCTGAGATTAAGTCAGAATTCTGACAAAAAAGAAGTTTTTTCTCAGTTTTTTTCCTCAGATTTCTAGAAAAGAAAAAAACAGGACGTGCTCGTTTTTTTCCCAGTGTCCCTAATCCTCTTCCGCACATTTCAGACTGTGCATTAAAATATTGGCTTTAATCTGAGCAGGTTTATATCACTGTAAAATTATCTGCTACCTTTTTCTAACTTTTAGATTTCAGTGATCATCTGATTCACAGTCTGATTCTATTTATTTGTCTTCATGTCATCAAATCTCAGGTGCGGCTCCGAACACGTCACATCTGATCGACGCAAATTTGGGGTTTTTTTGTGACAGCGTGATTTTCAAATTGATTTGAATTGGAATTATGTTTTGATAACCTAGAAAGTGACGTTTACAGGCATGTGAAACATTATAGTTAAACCAAACTGTGTCTTTTTAAAAAATGTATTTGTGTGTAAAAATAATACAAAAATCTAGAAACGGTGGTTTCGTGTGATGTTCTGCCTCTAGCCTCGAGTAAACAACTGCCTGCTAATACAGAGTCTCACTAAACTTAACGCACATTAATATCAGCAGATACATTTCAATTTGCCGAGAACTGCTGAGAACGTGGCCAGACTTTAGCTTGAACCTGTTTGTGGGAATACTAGCTGTTTTGCTGACATGTCTGTACTTTTGTGTTTTCCAGAACATGAATAGAAACTTTATGCAGTTTCCACTCCTGAATATACTGGAAGCTGTGCTCACTCATATTGTGTATATAATAATTCACCTGCTCACTGAATATTTCTGGCCTGTAAGAGAACGTGTTGATTGTGTTTTATTAACCTCTCGATGCAGTTAACGTGTTGAAGCGTAGCATGATGAACTTCCTGTTTCCTGTCTCCAAGTATACCATGCACTGTTCCACGTTTATGCTCACGTGGCACGTTTTGTACATTTTGGTCTCTGATGTTTGTTCACTTGTTAACTTTGCTAATGATTCACACTTTTATCACTGTTTGTATGACATGAAACGAAAATATATTTGCACATGTTTATTGAAACCTGCATCCGTGGTTTTGTTTCCCTTCTTTATAATCTGTAGGACAGGAAGAGCAGCTGGGAGCAAAGGTCGTGTAGCCCCTGACCGGTCACTACGGAGATATAAGCATTTTACACTGGCTGGTTTTTTGCACTTATAAACACTGCAGTATGTTAGCGGGTCACAAATACGCAACAGTGGTGAATCCTTCCAACAGAGAAAAGGAAACGCGTACCGTGAGCTGTATGTGAGGCTGGACATGAAGAAACCTCTATCAGCTGACTAATCAGAGATGGAGCTGGACAGGATGTGCAGCAGGTTAGCGTGATTAGTGTCAGGCAGAGAGGATGTTGGAGCGTGAGGAGATACTGATTTAGAGGGCTTCTCTGTACTTTAGACAGAGAACTCCAGCTTAACTCAGGGATTCCAGCTCAAATTTCCGACCCAGGATTTCCAACTTCATGGAGCGCATGTAACTTCCTGCTTCTGTCCTTGCTGCACTCTGCAGGCTGTTTGAACATCTTCAGTTGTCAGCCTCACATTGCACACAAACACATGTCAAACAGTGTGTGTGTATTTGATGTCCTCTCGGTGACAGTGGTCATCTGTAAGGAGGATTACGTCTTAAATGTAATGGCATTCTTGTAGACTGAATTCTGATAGGTTGTTAATAAGAGGAGCGGAACCAGCAGCAGTCACTGCTCTGACTGGTCTGCTGCTGGTATCAGTGTCCTCCTCTGCGTTACGTCCTGAGCTCTTTGTTTACACTGTCCACTGTTGGGAAGCTGCATTAGCGTGTTGCTAACAGTTAACCATTGTTGCGGAGTCACCTCAGGTGATGCTCGTGTGCTGGCCGGCTTTAATCCTCCACCTGGCTCCATAACCTTAATGCCTGCACTGTGTGTGTAGATCCAGGCCTGTAAGCCACTTTGTATTATAGGCCAATCTGTCCACACACACTCTCACCTGCAGGCAGTATTAATGGAATTACAGAGGTCCACCCAATACGAGGCTGAAGCCGTGAGCCAGCGGAATATCAGCTTTCAGCCGCAGATCCTCCAGCGCTGGTTACACACCACAGCAGATATCCTGGTTCAGCACACGCAGTTAAGCACACACAGCCTGCAGTTAAAAGAAAGTGGAGAATAAAAGCTTCAACTTCTTTAATTCAAGGTTCAACGTAAATAATTTAACACAATATCAAAGATTTTACAGAAAATCAACGCAGAAGAATCAAGACCACAAAAATCTGAGAAACAGAAAATCTCACACACGTCCACCTGCAGCTCCAACGCCGTCCTGTAGACGGTATAAAAGATGGACGCCATCGCCATGACGTCACCTGCTCGTTTCTGAACGAGGTTCAAAAGCTTGAGGTTGAGAGGTTGAGAGTTCCTGTAGTCTGGCCAATAAAACAGTTGCTGGACAACTGACCAACAGCCCGTCCAGGAACAAATGTAAACTTTTACAAATGACTGCTCAGCCGTGTCTGTACACAGCAAAATCTCCAGTGTTAAATTAACACTAGAGCGTGTCTATATGGGTCCACACCTCTGAGTGTTATATTAACACTTTTGACAGTGTTATATGTTTAAAAGTAACCTAGTCAGTTTTGAAGATTAACAATGACTAACACTGAGCAGAGCTGATTTTCTAACACTGGATTATTTCTAACATTTTGAGTTATTTTCCAGTGTTAGAAACTCAGCACTGCTCAGTGTTAGTCTTTGTTAATCTTCAAAACTGACCAGGTTACTTTTAAACATATAACACTGTCAAAAGTGTTAATTTAACACTCAACAGTGTTGTATTTAACACTCAGAGGTGTGGACCCATATAGACACGCTCTAGTGTTAATTTAACACTGGAGATTTTGCTGTGTAATCAAACCTCTGTAACTTTGCTTCACTTCAGCAGCATCAGGTCATGTTCACATGCTGAAAGATTTTCTTGTAAAACAAAAGGGTGGCCTATCAAAACAAACGTTTGGGAACCATTGAACCACTTTGCCCGAAGGAGCTGCTCGGTCACGTGGAGAAGTTAAGGGCTGCAGGTTGAACGAAGCTGCTCCACGTTTCCTTGAAGACACCTTTACCTGCTCACATTAACCAAAATAGAGTGTAATAGGATCGAGGCAGAAGCACTGCTGTACGATGGGCTGTGACTGCAGGAGCATGAAGGCTCACGTTAATAAACGAGTCCTGCTGATGGATGCAGTCCTGGAGGCCTGCAGGGTCTGACACGAGGTTGACCCAGATCTGATGGAGGTGAGTGGGTCAGCTGATGCCGCAGGGTTCACTGACAGACCTTTCGGCTCAGATTAGCTCTCTGCACTCCAGGATGATTCACGGCTGTGCATAAAATGCAAACTTCCCGCCTTCGAACAGGCGCTGATGGCAGAAAGACGGCATGAAACACCGGTTTACCCCACGGAGCCCCGCTGTCAGATATAACAATGTCTGTGACGCTGGGTTTAACAAATAACTGCTCAAAGTTTTAAAAACACATTTGGCGCCATCTTCTGTCAGCACGGGACGTGACGTCATGTGATTGGTTGGCTAACATTAGTTTATGTTAGCTAACTAGTGACGGGATCGATAACTCACAGGAAAATAAGGACACTGAAACTAAACAGCAGTGTGAGGGGGCAGTTTAGTGCTGCAGCAGTGAGTTTATTTTAAACCGAGGACATACTGTCTGTAACAGGAAGTGGCTGTTCGCTGTTTGCCCTGCTGCACTCGGACAGGATGATCCAGCTGTTAGCCGCTGTTCTGGGAATCCATCCTACCCGTTGTTTATGCACACAACACGAAATTAAGTGCCAAACCATCCTACTTTTGTGAATTTGACCTACAAGCAGAGATGGGCAGTAATGCGTTACTGTAATCCGATTACTTTTTTTAAAGTAACGAGTAAAGTAAGGAATTACTATTGCAAAAAAAGGTAATTAGATTACTGTTACTTTCCTGTAAGCACGCTGCGTTACTGCGTTACTAAAACCGTGATTTTTTTGCAAGTGTCTCATGACAGTGACGTAAGCGACAGCTGTGTGCAGATCAACAATCGATCATATATCGAGTGCAGAGAGAGTATGAGCGTGCAGCGTTTAAAGCGTGGAAGTACTGACCTTACTTTGAGTTTGATTCTGTAAAAAGGGACAAAAACATTAGTGTCCGCTGTGCGTGGGAAGAAAACTTCTTTTTACAGCGAAAAAACCCCTAAACTTCAGAGCAAGCATGACGCTGTTTGCTTGCTGCATAAAGTTAAAAGATTAAAACTAATAAAACAAGTTTTAAAAAGAGACTTTTCCATTTGATTACATTTTGTATGATGGATTATGTAGAAAAAGTAGAATTGGGCCGAAAGATCTATCACTTTATCACCTCTTCAGGTTGTAAATCGTGTTTTTAAAAAAGTAACTAAGAACTAATTACTTTTGAAAATAAGTAATCAGTAAAGTAACGGGATTACTTTTTTGGGGAAGTAATCAGTAATTAGTTACTGATTACTTTTTTCAAGTAACTTGACCAACACTGCTTACAAGCATACTTTAACAACTAAAATTCAGCGGCGAACCATGCTACCTTTGTGAATGTTACCTACAAGCATACTTTAACGGGTAAAATGAAGTGGCAAACCGTCCTGGCTTTAAGAATATAAGCTACAAGCATACTCTGATGGGCAACGTTAAGTGGCAAACCGTCATACCTACTGAAATTTGTGCTGGAATTACTCTGTGACAGCAGAAATGTGCATAAACTACTTACGGTAGGACGTTTTGCCAAAGTAGGATGGTTTGTCAGAACACTGTAATGTTCACGTTTGTAAATGAGGACTTTGGAGGAGAGCCTGTGTGAGCCAGGAGCCTGATTTTTCCCCCCTCTGCGCTATTTTATCTAGTAAAATAATCTCTAAGCAGACAGTTTACACGGTTACAGCCACCACATGCTCAGAGACCCTAGCATGATCAGGAATCCCATCAGCACCTCTGCAGGGAGGAGAACGTTTGGAGACCTTTGTTGTTTCCTCACATCATCTCACTGACTGATTACTGAGTAAAAGTGAAGCCCCGGTGTAAGTGATACATTCGCCTCAAGGTGCTTTACATTGTAAGGTCGACCCTACAATAATACATACAGAGAAAAACCCAACAATCATATGACCCCCTATGAGCAGCACTTTGGTGACAGTGGGAAGGAAAAACTCCCTTTTAACAGGAAGAAACCTCCAGCAGAACCAGGCTCAGGGAGGGGCGGGGCCATCTGCTGTGATTGGTTGGGGTGAGAGAAGGAAGACACAGTCCTGATTTATAAAGTGCTGTACAAACACCAACGTCACAACTAACAGCGTGATTTTCCTGTTGGAGTGCAGCAAACAATCACTTCCTGCTAAAGACAGTGAAGTGGACAGTATGTCCTCGGTTTAACATAAATGATTCTCTGTGGGAAGATTCATATCTGCATGTCAGAGTTTTCCCATAATTCATAGCTGGTGACATCTATGACATGGAGCCAACCACTTCTTCGTGGTGTCATTGGCTCCGTGTCCAACCTCCACCCTGGAGGACCAGGTGCTGATTTTTGTCTGGCCTTTACCTCCACGGGCTGCCCGACCTGGTTAGACCTACCAGAGCATCATCACCCGTCAGCCTCCCACCTCAGTAAGACCCGGGAGAAGACGGAGGTAGAGAGGCACAGACTGAGTGGACACGAAGGCTGAAGCAAACAGGACTCATCCTTTAACTTTCAGCTGTGTGTGAATCATCAGCTGAACCACATCTTCCGACAGACGGGTCTGGTTATGCAGCTCTTATGAAACAGCAGATGTAGGTGAGACTGATCTGAGCTGCCTGAACGTCTGAGTGTAAGATTAGGACACTGTGTGTGTGTGTGTTTACATCACACACCTCGCTGTCAGAAAGTTGCTGCTTCAGCAGCCTCAATCCTCGCCGCTCGGGTCAGCGCCCTGAACACAAAGTGGTTTTCAAGTGTTTCTCGTCCTTCATGTCATCAGTTATTGATGTAAACAAAAAACATGATTCACCACAGGAGAACTTCTACGGTGGATAAAACACTATTTTTTTTATATAAGTTTTGCTCAAACTTAAGAATCTGTGACATCATTATCAGCGTCTGGCCAGATGTTCAGGCAGCTCGAAACAACACGACAAAACAAAAAGTTCTAATCTGGAAATGAAATACATGAAAAGGCTTTAAGTTGCTAAAGCAGGACCGCTGCTCGTTCTCAGCTCCACCCTTCCTTCTGTCTGCCTCAGTGCAGCGCCTCACTTCATCCTCTGTCTGAAACATGCGTCTCTTTAAAGTCCCTAAAACGGCCTCTTCCTTCTGACTGGCCAGCTTCCGGAAGCCCGCAGTGGGGCAAAAACCAGGGTCATAGCTGTACTGATTGTGTTTTGTGATGGCATGAAAGTAGGAAAAGTAGGAACATTTTCAAGGCTCCTGAACGCCTCACGGACCTTCAGGCTTCACGTGCTCTCAGCGTCTCTTTTTATTTATTTTTACCGTCATCCAGTTTCACGAATTACAGTATGCTTGTATTTGTGTGTTGCATATTTACACATGTAGACGCTACAGGGTGACATCAGCAGACCGGAGCTTCGGCCTCCCGTGGCCTACATCTGTCTCTGTCCAAATCAATAGAGATGATTGGTGGAAGAGGAGGAGAAGCTAACTCCCACCACGCCCTCTCAGAGAAGCAATATGCTGATTGGCTGATCCTACAGACCCCGCCCCCTCACTCCCATCCCTTGCGATGACACAACAAACAGATAAATAACAGTGCAGACTCCTGAAAGCCTCAGATGTCCCTCTGAGACAGTCTCAGCACGTTTGTCCCACTTTTTCGTTGGACATTGAAGTATCATCAGAGACTTTTATTACTCGGGTGTTGGACGCTCCACAGCAGCTTCACGATGGAGCTGAAGGACTTCTGCGTGACGGGCTACCTGCTCAGCCCGCAGCGGTGAGTTCACGGAGCCTCGGCCTGAAACCGTCCTCAGGTCCAGATTCAAACGTTTTAGTGAAGTTAACGCGCTTTTTCTGGATGTGTGACAGTTTTCTTTGCAGCACGTTTTGAGTAGCACAGACAAATAAATCTAAAACGTTTGAAGGTACTTTTGGAAACTCTTTAAAATCTGATGCGAACACTGTGTGGCAGCGTTCCCCAAGTTTAACTCTGTTCTTTGTGCGTCTGAAAAAAACAAAAACAAACGATGCTGCTCTGTTTTTAAAATAACTCCAATTCTGTGCAAATGTGTATGACGTTTGTATATTATGTATGATGAACACGCTGTGCAGACTCACACGGTTTGTGAAATACAACCTCTGTGTTGATGTGAATATGAATAATAAGTTTTCCTGTCCTTGAACGCGACGTTGCAGCGCTGCACTCCCACACAGACTCATGTCCATGTGCACAACATCAATGATGATTTCCACTTTTACTGGCGGAGCTTTCTCTGATCAGAGAAGCACACAGACCAAACCTTATCTGAAAAGACTTGTTTTCATTATCGTAAAACACGATCTGGCATTAACAACGCGACACTTTGTCCCGATGAACGCGAACAAACGTCACCTTTGCACGACTACGAGCTCAGATTTAAAGGCTCATTTTCTTGTAAAGCGCCCCCTGCTGGTCATTACACAGAATGCACGTTTAAACTCTTCGCACCAAACTTGTGAAACTTGGAATGCGTTCATGGGAAACCCAAATCTTCTGTTTTTAACCCTGCAGGTCATTAACGGCCTCACTAATGTCAGCAGTCGGCTCGAGATTTTATTTTGTGTTCTGCACATTTTGTCCTGGTTTGTATTTCATGCTCCTCTTTCTTCTTCCTCCTTAGCATCCTGGACTCCTCTTCTCCCTCCTCCTCCCCCAGAGATGAACCTCAATCTCCACCCTCCTTCCTCCACTCCTCCCCCATTGGTCCCGCCTTTCCTCTGGAAGCCACTCCCACTCTCAGCCCTTCACATGCAGAATTCTTCCTCCACAGCCCGGCTTCTTCTTCCTCCTCATCCTCCTCCTCACCGTACAGTCTCCTGTGCCGAGCAGCGGAGCCCGACTCCCCGACAGGATGTAGTTCCAGCGGTGGAAGTAGCGTCTTGGTGTCGGAAGCGTCGCTGTGTTTTTCTGTATCGGACTCGTTTTCAGCGCAGGTGAAGTTTCTGTTTAATCACATTTAAAAACACAAACACTCTTAAAGTCTGAACGTCCCCGGGGTCGAACTGCCAAACTTCAAATTCACGTCCGTATCCAACTGTTCCTGGAAGTTTTCTCTGGTGCCCCAAAAGTCTTAATCCAGACTAGAGTCAGAGCTGAAGGTTGGACTGAGGTACCTGCTGAGCTCACTGACATCCAAATAAAATCCTCGAACGTCACTAAAACTGGAGCTCCGCCTTCATGGAGGTGTGTTAGTACAGAAACCTCACAGCAGTCATGTGATTGGCCATTAAAAAGGCCCCAACACCACTCAAACGCAGCCCCGAGGTCCAGTCCAGGAACAGTTAGCTGAGGTCTGTGGGGACCGTCTTACTGCTCGCCACTGATGATGACGTCGTATATCTGCAGGTCAACTCGATCCTGAGGGGCGACTACATGACCTCGATGGGGGCCGTGGGGCCCAAAAGGCTGTGTCTGGTGTGCGGAGACTTCGCCTCCGGGTATCACTACGGCGTGGCGTCCTGCGAGGCCTGCAAGGCTTTCTTCAAGAGGACCATCCAAGGTGGGAGGAGCACGTTCATCATCTCCTGTATAAAGAAATAAAAACATGAGGATGAGGACGGCTGATGATATATTTATAAAATATAATTCTTACTGTTACTAGTGTAAACGATGCTGGTCGTTTATGACATCAGGCTGTTGAGTGTAAATGTGTCCAAACAGCAGCCAAATTACGCTTTTTGCACGTCTCCTGTGTGAAACCTCCAAATAGGTTTTTAACGGCACCCTTTAGAATAACGTGGTTACAAAGGACATCCTGTGAAGATCGACCCGCGATGTGAAACTGCCTTACAAAAAACACTAAAAAGGACAAACAGGGAATCCAAGTCATCAGTAGAGTCATAAATAAATAGACGCTCAGCTGGTTTCTATTAAATATCAAAGGTCTTACAGTCTGTGTGATTCATTAGCCGATCAATACAGCAGCGCTCGCTGTATCGATTAGTGTGAGAAGCCGTCGTCTCTCACATCAGCTGCTTGTTTCTCATTCCGGGCGATCGATTGGTCACGCCCGATCACTTCACTTATTGATCTGTGCAGAGAGGTCAAAGGGAGGCCACGAAGAAACTCACAGCAGAGGGTTTCAATATTACAGGGCAGGATGATCCACGTTATTGATCCACGATGAGAGTATGGGTTCATTTCTGATCACAGTCTGAGAGACTCTCACAAAGATCCTGCATTACTGCAGAGCTGTGACCACAGAATATAAAGCACCCTACAAACTGACCACTGCATTTGCAAATATGTGATGTCTCGATAAACCGAGCAGATATTTGAAGTTTACACAGCTACTGAAAATATGTTAAACGTTTATTTTGAGACACAGAAAGATTAATAAGAGTAACATTAAAACTTAGTAGCGGCCGCCATTGTTGGAAACTGGAATTGGCTGGGCCGCGCTATGAATTCTGGGATATGGTGGGCCACGAAGGACACACCCGTCCCATCCTTCAAATTCGGGGAAATGAAGAACGCATTTGAAGGAGTCGATGAATTGGGACAGCCTTCGTCGCCTGGCTGTGACGTAATCGGCCTTCAAATGCGGCCTCCGAAGTATGCAGCCTACGTTTTGGGACACAGCTACTGACACTCCTGCTTTTATTTCCTGTTGTGGTTACCTAGGTAACATCGAGTACAGCTGCCCGGTGATGAACGAGTGCGAGATCACGAAGCGGAGGAGGAAAGCCTGTCAGGCCTGCCGCTTCCAGAAATGTCTGCAGGCCGGGATGATGAGGGAGGGTACGTTACACCAAACGACCGTTACGAGCTGGCAGGAAGTAGAACTACATGTGTGTGAAACGCCTCTGCGTGTTGCAGGTGTCCGTCTGGACCGCGTCAGAGGGGGGCGCCAGAAGTACAAGAGGCGGGTGGAGACGGGACTGAGTTTATGCAGCAAAGCCCCGTACAGCCACCCGAGCAGCAGCAGTGAGTTCACCTTCGCTCCCTCTGAAGGCTTTCAGGTCAAACGACTCGTCCACGCCGTTTATCATCCACTTCCTGTCTTTTAGGGAACAAGGTCATTTCCCACCTGCTGCTCACAGAGCCCGCCCCTTTAGCTGCCAATCAGGACGATTCGACCAATGACAGCAGCTTGCGGATCCTGCTGATCCTGTGTGACCTCCTGAACCGGGAGCTGCTGCTTCTGATTGGCTGGGCAAAACAGATTCCAGGTACACGCTCGAGACCACCAAACAGGTCCCCAATCAAGACCACGCCCACCCTCAACCTCCACCTGGTCCCCAATCCAGACCACACCCACCCTTAACCTTTACTTGGTTATCCAGAGCACTGGAACATTATGTATAAACACAGGTAATATAATAATAATAATAATAATTATTTGTCATTTATTACTCTGCCCCGCCCACTCCCAGGCTTCTCCGGACTCTCATTGGTCGATCAGATGTCGCTTCTGCAGAGCGGCTGGATGGAGGCGCTGCTGGTGGGTGTGGCCTGGCGCTCCCAGGGCGCAGGGGGGGACGAGCTCGTGTTTGCCGGGAATCTGTGTCTGGACGAAGCTCAGTGTCGAGCCACGGGATTGGCTGACCTGTACGAGGCGCTGCGTCACCTGATAGCGAAATACAGAGCGATGAAGCTGAGCCCTGAGGAGGTGGTGACCCTGAAGGCCATGGCACTTGCCAACTCTGGTAAGAACAAGCCATTAGCACCACTGCCTGTAACCACAGTAGGACAGTACTGTGTGTCAGGGCAGAACAGGCCTGTAGGGGGCGATGTTTCCCTGCAGTTTTATAGGAGAAACAAATAATCTCGTTTTAATCTCGTCCTGATGGAGTAACCTGCTTATGCTCAGTGTTTAGGAGACACATTCTTCATGGTTTCTGTTTGACTCAAAGCGTTATGGCTGCACATGAACTCAGATATTAACACTTCCTGGCTGTCTGAGTTTCAAAATAAGAGCCTGAGATGAATGATGATTAAGTTAAACAACTCGTCTGCATCTCACAGGACAGTACTGTGGTATAAATGATGCAGGAATTCCAGCACTCATGTTTTACAGCTTTTACAGTTTTACACACACACACACACACACACACACACACACACACACACACACACACACACACACACACACACACACACACATACCTGATCAATATGGCTGCTGTGTATCTGTGAGCGGGACAGCTGAGGAGCTCCAGCATGAACTCAGATATTGATTTTACCACAATAACCACTCCACTCATTGATCTTAGAGGAGTGGTTATTGATATTGATCAGACTCTGGGAGCTGAAACAGCAGTATTGATTAATCCCAGACTTGAATTAGTTTTGTGGCTCTCACTCTGTCGCAGTTCAGTGGTCAGCAGAGCGTTTAGTGGCGGCGCTGGAGGCTGCAGGCGAGGAGCAGCCGATCAATAACACTGAAGTCTGCTCAGACTCTCACTGTCTCAGCCTCAGATCAATAAACAGACTGGCAGACAGGCCTGTGGCTGCACAGCCGTCCTAAACCTGCAGATGCTCAGGCTCAGACGTGCAGACACACTCACAGCTTCTGATCAGTCGATCAGGGGAAACATATTGAGCTGATTAACAAGCAGCACCCAAACGTTCCGGTCTGTGATTTAGAGACGTGAACAGGACCCAGTCTTTAAAAACTAAAGCAGTCTGACACTGCACACGTCCTCCACCATCGGATGTCCAGTTTCATGCAAACTCATCCGTAACCAGTTCAGTTTTCCTGCTAACACAAAACCAACCAATCACATGACCTCACATGATGTAGGTGAGAGACTTTTGGAGCCAGTAGTGACCATATTTAGACCAGAGCCTCAAGTGGCCATGAGAGGAACTGCACTTTGTGTTTGTAGCAGAGTGTTTTGGTCGTTTGTCCTGATACAGCTGAGCATGCTGGGTGTAATGAGCGAGGAAGCATTCTAACCTGCGTCTGTCCATCTGTCAGACGCTGACCCGGTGGACTGCCCGGACTCGGTGCAGAGGTTTCAGGACGGGCTCCACGAGGCGCTGCAGGACTACGAGTCGTCCCGCCGGGAGCAGCACCGAGCAGGACGGCTGCTCATGACCCTCCCCCTGCTACGACAGACCGCCGACCGAGCCGTGCAGGCTTTCCTGCGGCTGCACCGCCACCGCCACGTCCCCATCCACAAACTGCTGCTGGAGATGCTCGACGCCAAGGCCTGACCGCGTCCTGTCGGCCATTTATCGGGGAGACTGTAAAATGACCCAATGCACTTGACTTTTAGCTTTCAGAGAAGTTATATTTTTGTATCATGATGTTTGTTTTTTGGCAGAAATGAGCTTCCGTATTTTTTGTTTATGGGACCGTTCCTGCTCAGTAAAGCTCATTTCTGCTCAAAGATCCAGCGTTACAGCTTTTCATCAGAAAACATTAAAGTGGAACCGTTCTACTCATTTGCAGCGTGGGTTCTGCTAGGGCAGCTTTGCATGAGTCACAGTTCAGAATAACCCTTCTTTGTCTGATACTGGGCCTCTGTCTCAAACAAGCTACTCCCTGTTTAAGGGCTACCGTCCTACTTAAATGTTTGAACGGCGAGTGGGCGGGGCCTTTATGTCTGAGATGACTACAGTAGGGATATCCTCTGTGACATCACAGACCAACATCAGAAAAAAAAAAAGTTTGAAACAGAGTGTTCGTCTCACTGAAGTCGTTATTAGAAACTTGGCTCATGTTTATTATGAACAGGAAAGCAGAACAGAGCCACTTTAACCAATCAGCAAACACTTCTTTAAGCTCCGCCTCCTGTAGGAAAAGGTGGGCATATCTAGAGTCAGATTTAAATTTATTTTTATAAACTAAAATATTTTTGTGTGATATCCATTTTTCCACGATGATGCGATCAAACTGCGATGCTGAGTCGTCGTTTAAATGGCTGTGGATGTTTACTGTGTCAGAGCTGTTTGTTATAACAATAAATTAAAGCTTTTGGAATAAAATCAGGTGCTCATCTTTTATCTTCTAAAATATCTCGTCATGTCTCTAAGACATGAGTCTTTACAACACGAGCTGAGCTGTACGCACAGAGTTGGAAACCATTAAAAACATTACAGATTCCTAATGGCTGAAGATGCTGCATTCACAGGTCGTAGGAAACTAGAAATTTGTCATCCTCTGTGGAAGTCTCTCTCTAGTTTTTCACCATTTCAAACAATATACATAATATAATGATATATTATTAATAAATAATAAAATAGACATAATAAAATAACAGTTAAGTTAAACATATTTAAAAAAAAAAAAAAAGAAGAGTAAAACATAAGAGCGAAGACCTCGTGGAGTTTGTCAATTTGTCACTGTAAAATCTTCATCTTGTAACTCAGAGACTTTATTATTCCCACAGGGAAATTCAGTCATAGCAGTGTAAATACCACAAACGTCAAGTACTCATAAAAAAATGCAGTGTATGTAGCCTGAACCACGAAGCAGCTCAAAGCAAACAGAGACAGGCTGAAGCTAAAAGTGTGTTCAAAGCTGAGCGAACATCAGAAACTAACCCGTGTCTGAGGTCAGCTTACCCGAGGAAGACTGTGGGCAGCAGGCGGCTCTGCTTCATCACAGTAAAGGAGGAAGACGCAGTTTTCCTGTAATCACCGGTTTACTCTGAGGCTTCCTGGAAATACATTTTCCCCTTAAAAGCACCAATGCAGCAGAAAAAGGACTCCGTGCTTTGAGTGATATATTATTGTTTATTATCGATTAGGATTATTAATGCATCATCAGGATTCATAGGTAACTTACAAAATCTGAGAAACAGTAGAAAGTCGTGAAAAATAATCGCCTGACAGCCCTGAACGCACCATGAAGAAATTGGGTAACAGGTGAGCTGCACCCCTAACATTCCTGTACTGGAGTCTCCCCCTGCTGGCCATAAAGTGTACTACAGAAAACCTAAACAGTTACACCCTCTGCACTCCCAGGGAATGAGCTTCAAACGAGCTCAGACTTTAAATTTAAATTGGATTTTTGATATTTTGGTGACATGATGAGTTTGAAAACGTCCAGAGTAAACATGTAGAGTTCATAAAACCTTCAAAGGCGGTTTCAGAGACCTGAAGACCCAAACAGGGAAATGAGTCCTGATGCACACAGATTCAGTTCCCTTCAAATCGCTTCAGTTTTTTGACCCTTTAATTATTTTATTTCATCTGCAAATTAGTTTTTGTTCCAGGGAAGTTCCTGGAGATTCTGGGGAATTATCAGGTTTCCTCAAAGCAGCTGTGAGACGTTCAGGGTCGGTAAGTCAGCAAACATACAAATGAAATAAAAAGACAAAACTGTGAAGTCTGTTAGAAAAGTTAGAAAGAGTGCTGGTTAGAAAAGCTACAAACAGCTTTGTGCTCGATCACCTGAGGAGTCTCCGTTTGGGATTTCACTCTTTTAGCTCAGTTTTTGGTCTCCACCGCCTCCTGAAGGAAGCGTCCGTCTCTTCAGCTGCCAGAAGCTGAACTGTGACGTTACAGTGCGACAGGTTACTCTGATAACAGCGACGCATCAGTATGGCTGACGTGGTTCAAACAAACCCAGGCTTCCTGCAGCAGCTCTGACCTGGTCTTCATCCTGTCACAACCATCCAATTCTAATTAAAAGACGCTTTTGTGCCAAAGAGGTTACTTCTCCTCGCCTTGGGGCCTTTTCTTGTTTTACCTGAAATAAAGACTGAAGGTCGATCTGCAGCCGTTATCAAAAACCACCGGAGGAGCTGATCGTATCATTTTCTTCTTCACGTCTCACCTGACAACAGCTTTTAGTCATGTTTTCAGTTTTTTCAGCCATCGTGTGTCCACCTGAACCCGAAGCTCTCAGGCAGATCAGCCAATCAGAAGCTGGTCTCATTCATATGTGGTTTGGGGCTGGTGGGCGGGCCAGAAGGGGTGGGGCTGTCGGGACCTGGGGGACTCTCGGGGGTCCCCGAGGAATCAACGGGTGATGCCGCAGTGTTGTGGCGAGGGGAGACAGATGCCTGAGAACGGGTCGGGCTCACCGCTGCGGAGGCAGGGCTCGGCGGGGAAGCGGGTGAGGTCCTGCGGTGTAATGACGAGGAGAGCGGTGACGAGGACAGCGATGATGGCGGTCCAGGTGAATGTCGAGCAGCAGGGGGTACAGTGAAGGTGGGAGGGGTCCTAAGGCCGAATTTGGCCTCCAACTCACTGCACACCGCCAGGCTCCGCCTGATGCCCTCTGACCCCGGCGGGAACCCTACGCTCACAGCCGCCTCTGAACCCTTGGCGAGCTCCTGGCAGCGCTCAACAAAGCTCCCCCTGCGCACAGACCCACATTCTTTGTCCCGGTCCAGATGCCTGAGGGGACGGGGGCTGCTGGTCTGGCTGCAGGTGGGGTAGGAGGGGCCTTGTTGCAGTCCAGGTGAAAGGCCAGCTTCTCGGGCAGGTTTAGCGAAGGGAACGGGGGGCGGAGCCTGGCGGGGGAGGCTGCCGTACAGCGACGCAGACGAACCCGAACCTCCGGCTGCACCTCGTCCTCCTCCCATAGAGCGAAGGTGCTCTGTCCTGAAGGCATCGCTGAGCTGAGAGTGAAGGCTGCAGGAACAGGAAGTGACACAAATCAGCAACCACAGTAAGAGCATGATGTTTACGACTGCAAACGACCAATGGCATCCATCAAAGACGCGAGATTAGAAGTCATCTGTCAAAATAGAAACACCAAAGAAGAACGTGGACTCTGCACCGCATCACCCTGTGTGAATGAGGCTCAGTGGGAGGGAACTCTACCTGCAGGTGGAAGCTCGGGGTGTGCTGTCAGGTGTTCTGGTCAGAGCCAGGTCGCACTGGTCCAGCAGCTCCAGCAGCTCCTCCTCTGTGGGTCCGCCCAGTGCTGCCAAACAGCCAATGAGAACCCATGTTGATCAGCTGCTAACTAACTGCAGAGCACAAGAAGTTGTTCTTCTACATCACGAGTCTGGAGTTTTACCTCTGATGTCGACCTTGCCGGCGATCTCCATGGCGGTGGTCAGGTCCCACATCTGGATGCTGCCGTTGCTGTGGCCGCTGAACAGGTAGCGACGCGGCCGAGAGCCGATGCGGCTCGAGCCCTCGCACTCGTGGACCATGAAGGCCGTGATGGAGGTCCCATCCACCGAACGCACCTCACATACCCTGACACACACACACACACACACACACGATATTTTGGTCTTAACAGACGTTTGGTTCTAAACGTTCTTTAACCTTCAGTGTCACATGATCACACATCGTGTGCTCGCGGGTTGTTCTGTTATTACGTTTACTTTCCAACATGGACGTCAATACTCTACACGCCAGTCGACAGACAGGCGGCGTGTTTCGTTACCTCCTTGTTGAACCAATATGACGCCGAGGACAGTGTTGTTGTTTTTAATTGTGTTGTTTGTCTTTCATGCATGTACGGAACAGGAACAGCAGCTACTGTTACTGCAGGAGCGAACGGGGATCCTAAAACTAAACTGACCACACACAGTTATAACCAGGTGGGTTACAAGTGTCTACGGCTCTCCCACCTCTTCCCGTTGGAGGACAACCGGACGTAGAGTTTATCCGTGTCGGGAACGACTCTCTGGATAAACACCTGCTGATCGTCTCTCTCTCCATACGGCCCTGAAACCAACGAGACAGTGAAACGAAAGGAGATCTGACAAAGTCAAAGTTTGATTGTCTTTGATGAATTCCATCGCTTCATTACAGAAGCAGAGCTACAGTCCTCAAACACAGCTCGGACTGCGATCGGGGTGACAGTTACCGATCTCGGTGCCGGCGCTGCAGCCTCCGTGCCCGTCCACGTCGTCCAGGCTGAGGATCTTGAAGGAGGTGAGCGGCGTGGACCCCGGCTGGGTGGAGATCATTCCTCTGAAGCGAGTCACCGTCCACGTCCGCACGTGGTTGTTATCTGCACAAACTGAAGGACGACGAAGAGGAGCTCAGAAACAACGACACCATGAACGAGCTGCAGACATCAGCTTAAGCCCTGCATTCGACACAGAACGCCAGTTTCCAAGACGAGGCGATTCTCGTACCTGAGATGAGGTGCTTTTCCGACAGCATGATCTTGGTGACGGGGCTGCGGTGGACAGAGAAGGTCTGAAAAAGCTGAGGCCCTGAGCCCACGGTCTCTGGATGCTGAACGATGACGCGAACAGTCCCCGAGCTGGTCCCGTACGCAATCTCGATCCAGTTCCCGCTGTCACCTGAGCAAACCGGGCTAAGTGTGAGACGGCTGCAGGAACATGAAAAATAAGACTTTCCCTGACTCGTCTCTAACAGACTGAGGTGAAGGAATGTGGAGAAAACTGACGCCCTGCAGTGGTTGTATTAGCAGCAGTGTCAGTGTCTCCGTACTTGTTTTGGGTGTGAGGTAGACGCTGAGAGCGGTGATGGCGTCTTCGGTCGGGTCTCTGTACAGCTCCGTCACCAGCAGGTCGTTATCCTTCATCCTCAGAGGAAACTTCTGAACATCTGACCAGCAAACAGGGACATTGTGAACAGCGGGGACTTTTTAAACATCTGTCAAGTCGTGAAGCCAAAGCCTCCCAATGAAAGCTGGTGAGAGTGGCCGCAGCATTTACTGAACAGATTCAGGTTCTGGTTGGTAAATTAATGACCACGAGCCAACAATCTGATGAATTTATACTCGTACTGAGCAGTTTTCAGTTGATCCGACTCATCGATCTGCAGCTTCTTACCGATGTAGTAGATGGAGCCGTTATTGCAGCCCAGGATAAGGAAGGAGCCGGCGGTGTCGTAGCTGCTGATGGGAACCACATCCTGGTTCTGCAAAGGTCACAGAGAACATGTGTGAAGCAGACTGATAACCACCTGAAACAGACTTGGTCCAATCAGCTCCCTCGGCAGGTGTTCAGGCTTCAGCACTTCCACTGAAGCGACCATCTGAGAGCGTCTCCACCCACCTGCCAGTGTTTGGTGACTGCGTTCCACACCCCCACCTTCCC